ATTTAGTATCTCTAGATATTTAAATGTAACATAAGCGTTTGCGCAAAAGTCACGCCGCACTGCTATATTCAATTCGAAAAACTAACCTAAAATCTCTGTGTTTCACACGTGTAGAAAATCGTTGACAAGTGTATAATATATATATAAAAAAATTTTGAGATTCCAAAATATGTTTAAAAAATTTGTATTTCAAGTTTGTTTATAATTTTATTCCTTATTATGATCGAAAAACTGATTTATTCCATGAAATAATGAGAATAATTGATTGAAATTGATATAAATACCGAAACTTTTACATATAATAATCGTGAATTTCTTTCTTTCATTCTGTCCACACCTGAAGTTGGTTGTTCTTGCGTTTGTTTCGTTTATAGGTTTTGACTTTTGACAATTCTAATTGTGGTTAACGTATGTTTTTTTTGTTTACATTTTTCCACGTTCATCAAGATTAAGGTTATTCTTAATATTTTATATATAAAAGGTAAATAAAATTAAGATTCTTCTTTATAAAGTTAAAAATTTTTTAAATTTGACATTTTTAAGAATTACTTTTTAATAATTTATGTTATTTTAACAAATTTTGTGACATTTAAGCATAGTTTCAAATTCTTTATTTATTATTGTTTTTTAAAATAAACATTCTAAATTAATTTTGTACTATAAATTTAAAATTGCATATGAATTACTAGGAACAAATAATTTTCTATATAATATTTTAATATTTTCTACACTAACTAAATCATACGAAAATACAAATGAATATTAAAAGTTTTGAATATAATATTAAAAGGGTAAAAAAAATTTTTATTAATCTTAATTACTGACATATTTTTTATTATCACAGTGAATTATCATATTTTTAATCCTAATATTAAAAATTAATTATTGACAATTTAAAAAAAGTGTTAAATAAAATTTTGCATTATTATTTTTTACAATAATTTAATTATTAATGAAATATTATCTTTACAGTATTTTGTAATATAAAATGTTTAATATAGTTGAAATAAAACATAATTTTATTAAAATTATTTTTCAAAATTAGCAGTAATTAATGTTTTACATTAAAATTAAAAAAATAATTCATTATCATAATAAAAATGTATAAACATTCTTATTAATAACAATTTTTTTTCATAGTGTATATTTTAACATTTTTGAATATAAAATGATAAAATACTACATAAAATAATAATAATAATGTATGACTAAAAAATTTTGTTATTATAATGAAAAATTATTTTTACAGTATTTTTTAAAAATATAATTTCTATTTATGTTATTAAAGTGTTCGTAAAAAGGAAAAAACTACAAGGCGCTTGCGCGCGCTTTTGTTTAGGTGGTACGTTTTAGTATCTGGGATACTTAAATGTGAATATCTTGGATAGTAGCATTTAATATATAGAATTAAACATCCAAGGATACTAAATCTGAGTATCTATAGATAGTTGTCCCATATTTAAGTATCTAATATATTTACTCGTGAATATACAGATACTAAATTTAAGTATCCATTTTTCTCCGTGTAATTAGTCTGATAATAAGTGATATATTTATTTAGAAAACGCATTTATTCTGTAATATTAAGAGGTGTCGACAGCCGAATATTATATGGGGCATTCCACGTCAAATTTTCATTAAAAAATTTTTTTTTTTTTAATTTTTATGAAAAATAAGAAAATACTTATTTTTTATTTCTTTATTTGGTAAAACTTATAAAGGTTATAATTTTTTAAAATTTAACTTCGTGAATATTGTTTTTTAATATTTTTGAATAATTTAATATTAATAATAATAAAATAATTTTTTAATAAATCTTATATTTGTACCGAAATCGATACTTTTAATTTAAAAATAAATTATTGTAAACGAAAGCAGAGGTTTGTTTTTCCGTTTTCAAATTTTCAAAATGCCGTATTTTTCTTTTTCGAGATTATTAAACTTGAAAATGTAAAAATCACTTACCTGGCAAGCGGATAGGAAAAAAAATTTCAGCTTCCATTTGCAAAAATTTATTTTAAAATTAAAACTTATCGATTTCAGTGCAAATTTAGATTTAATTTCAATTCTTTTTAGATATTACCGTTGTAGTTACGTTAATTTTTATTTTATATTTAAAATATTGAAAAATCGAACAAATTTTATATATTATTATTGCTTTTTCATGGAGAAAGCATTGTAAGGGGCCGTCCATATACCACGTGGACAATTTTTTACAGATTTTTGACCCCCCCTGCCCCCCATTGTGGACACATAAATGCATTAAATCGTGGACATTTTCAAACTTTTTTAACCCCCCCCCCTCCCCCCCTAAAGTGTCCACGTGGTATACACGGTACCCTGGAACCAATCTCAACCCTCAACATTCTCTCTTTCAAAAATTCCTGTTGCAACTTGTTCGAGGTACCTCACTGAATATTTTTCAACAAAAAAAATAAAAATCCGTCAGGCGCTTTTTTTTAATTTCAATTTTTGTGATTTTAGCGCCAAATTAAAAAAAAACTGGTTTTTATAATTATTTAAAGTAAAATTCAACTTCACATGGTCAAATTTTGTTCAAGAAATTATACAAAATCATAATTCCGGTAGAAATTTTTTCTGTAGAATCGAAATCTGACATTGGCTTTCGAATTTAAAGCAGAGGAATCCCAAAAAAATCCGGAAAACTGTAAATATTCTAAAAGCAATCTCACTGTCGTTTTTTTCAAGTTTTCTGTGTCGAAATTTTTTTTCTGTATTAAACACAGAATTCCTTACGCCATCTACAAACAGCAGTGGTAAATTCCACAAAACTGCTGCGTTGGTTTTCGAAATATACAAATTGTTCTTTGTGAAAAAGCCAAGATTAATTGGCGCAGGCGCAAATTTCTTGGGAAAAAAACAGACTAGAAACGAATTAAAAATTGTTTATATATTTACATTTTTAATAACAGAAAGCAAATTTGAATCAGAAAATTTAAAATCAGTAGAAACGTCGTAAACATACCCTAGATTTTGTTAACTTTTAAATTCAAAATTTTAATCACTGCCAAAAAAATGTTCATTCTATAATATTTTGTTTTGTAAATTTGAAAATGTAACTGTTACTTATTGGAAAATTTCGATAAATTTTGAAATTGCTCTTATTTTTATAAAATTTAACAGACAATTTGGAAAAAACGACGCTACGGTGAGATTGTTTTTAGAATATTTACAGTTTTCCAGATTTTCTGGGATTCCTCTGCTTTTAATTCGAAAGCCAATGTCAGATTTCGATTCTACAGAAAAATTTCTACCGGAATTATGATTTTGTATAATTTCTGGAACAAAATTTGACCATGGGAAGTTGAATTTTACTTTAAATAATTATAAAAACCAGTTTTTTTTTAATTTGGCGCTAAAATCACAAAAATTGAAATTAAAAAAAAAGCGCCCGACGGATTTTGATTTTTCTTGTTGAAAAATATTCAGTGAGGTACCCCGAACAAGTTGCAACAGGGATTTTTGAAAGGGAGAATGTTAAGGGTTGAGATTGGTTCCAGGGTACCGTGTATATGAACGGCCCCTAATACCGAAATTTTTCGAACTTGATTTTTTGATGTATCTTTATATTTATTGACCTCAGGAATCCAAAAACTAATTTTTTTATGATTTGATCCTTACATCACCTTCTTTTTCATTTCCTGACTACGGAGAACGTTCCTTCTCAAGAACAATTACATAAAAAAGTTCAGCACCCAAAAATATTTCTTATCTTAAATCTGTCTTTTTAAAATTGTTTCTAATTTCTTTTAATCTCTATTTTGAAAAGTATTTAATTCTCAAGAATATACGACATTTATGAATGTAAATAAAATTAATTCACGTGAAAGTGACAGAAATTTTCACACACAATTTAAATGGAAAGTAATTTCTAAAAATAAGAGAAAAAAATGTATTTTTTTTTTTTGAAGTATATCAGGAATTTTTTTTTTCTTTTTGTAACAGGATTAAAATACAATACCATAAATGTGTGTGGGAAAAAAAAGAGAGAGAAAGATATATACTGTTTTAAATTATTTCTCGTCTCTAATCGTAATAACGTCAAAAAACGAGATGAAATACTTTCGAGACATTTCCGTTTGAAAGACACTAAAGTAGACATTATCTAGGAGCAACTTTCGCTGCTTGGGTGTGAAACATACGCGGATGGTTGCAGAACATGTCCTTGATATTATATATATATTATAAGATATAGAGATAAGAGATTTCAATTTTTGTAGTTATTTTTTTATTTTAATTTCTGCATGAAGGATTTCAGATAAAGTGATCAAAGTTGAAAAAAAAATTTTTTTTTCTCCAATCGTGCTTAAATTACCTCCATGAAGTTGGCGTCGACGCTCAGCGTCGAAATTTATTTTTCACGTGACCAAAAATATGAAATGATTTTTAAAAAGATTTTGGGACCACATAATATTATCTTGAAAAGTATTTCTCAAGGCATTATTTGGATTAAAAATCTTAAAAAGAAATAATTTCATACTTTTGGTTCGGTGAAAAACAATTTTCAGCGCTGACGCCAATTTCATGGAGGTCTTAAAAATTTGGATAATTTGTAGTTCTATTGGATGATAATTTTTTGTAAAAAAAATTTCCCATTTGAACAAATATTTTCTGCGGTAGGAGGAAGTAACAATTTTGGGGTACTGTTTATATAATATTTTTTAAATAATGAAATATAAAATTTTTTTCCATATCAGTTTCGATAGTATTTTTTGATACAATTTCGAGTGGTAAAATACATTTAAAAAAAAAAAAATTTATTGACCAAAAAAATGAAAATTAAAAATACTTTTTTCGAATGAAACGATTTTTTTTTTTAAACGAAAACTGAGGTTTTTTTCCTATAAAGACATTTAGATAGAAATTAATTTTTTTATAAATGCATTTTATATTTTATTAATTGATTTTATTTACATTTTTGAAAAAAATATCCATTTGGAAAATTCCATTTTTGACCAATAAAACAATTGATGTTTCAGATCCATCAACATATGACGAGGGAGGAGCTGATGTCGGTGTTCCAGACGGACCACGAATCCGGTAATGAAAAGTAAAAAGAACTGTTTATCACCACTGCAGACGTTCAGGCGCTGATTTTTTTTTTTTTTATTTCTTCTTTTTCACTTTTTCTTCTACACTCTTTATCTTTCTTTTAGTTTAACTACTTTTTCGAAGCTTATGTGTGCACATTTATTTTATACTTTTTGATTGCTTTAAAAAAAAAAGTAACGAATCAACAATTCAGTTTTTTTTTTTTATTGGACATTCCATGTAAGATTTTCATTCGAAAATTTTTTTCGAAATCTTTATGAAAAATAAGAAAATACTTATTTTTTTATTACTTTATTTGATAGAAATTATGATTTTTTTTAAATTTAACGTCTTCAAGATATCTTTTTTTGAAATTTTTTCGATTTTTTTCTTGAATATTTTAAAGATAAATAGTAAAAAATAACGTAACTACAACGGAAGTATTTAAAAAATTAAATCTAAAATGAAAATGTGACTTTTCTTAAATCAGATTTTTGAAATATTTTTTTTTTTAATGCAGTCTGATAAATAAGGAAATTTTTCCTGTTTATACGAAAGTGGTATTTTTTGCCTACTATTTACATTTTTAAAGCTACACCCTAAAAAAAGTAATTTTCAATCTAGAGGATTCCTCTAAAATAAATGCATATTTTCCTCTTAATTTTGGTATCAAAATTATTATTCTTCATTTAAGAGGATTTTCCTCTTAAATTAAATGTCGACATCCAAACCTCGTAAAATTGTTTTTAATGTCAAAGCCATCAATAAAATATTTATAATTTCAATCAAATAATAAAATCTTTGCAGAAAATACATTTTTAAATTAAAATTAAGTAAAATTATAATAGTTCATTTCAATATAATAATAAAAATTGTTTTTTAATATAACATTAACAATGTCATGTTTTTGGTTAATTATCAACATTTTATATTGATAATTAAAATACAAAAAATAAGTTTTCATTAATCAGTTGTAATGATCAACGAGATTTTCAGCGCAAAAATAATTTTAAAACATGATGATATGTTTAAAAGTTAACATTTTTTATAGGACAGAAAAAAATGTCATATATAAAATTATTTAACGTTTTAAAACTTTTTTAAAAAAGTAAATAAAAAGATTTAAAAAATTCGAAAGATTCAAAAATGGGGTTATAGTATTTCTATTTACCTGAGTAGTAAAATTTCACAAGAAATATCCAAATATCATTTAATTTGAATTTAACTATATTTTCTGTATTTTTAATAAAGCAAATCCATTTTTTTGTCCTTTTTGTTGACATTTTACCAGAAATATTAAAACTGAAAGGTTAAAAAACAACTTCACAACTATCATACCCAGGGAAAGGGATCAAACGATTACATTATTTTTTTCCGTTTCCTTTTTTTAAATCTTCTAAATTTAAAACGGAAAATCTTAATTAAAGAGGAAAATACAAAAGGAATCCTTTTGTCATTCTTCCATTAAAATGAAGAATAAAAATATTCTACATTTCAATTGAATAATCTTATTTTAAGAGGAAATATTTAGAGGATATTAGAAGAGGAATTTTCCTCTAAGTATAAGATTACTTTTTTTTGGGTGTAGATGCAAAGATTTACATTATGTATTTCTGAGAATAATTCGAAAACAAATGAACGATACGGGGAAAAAGTATTTATAAAATAAATAATTTACTTGAAAATCTATGAATAATCACAAAAAAACTGTAAATAGTATTTTAATTACAAAAACCCCACCTTCACAAAAAATGGCAAAAATATTCTTATATTTATCAGTGACTAGATTAAAAAAAATTTCAAAAAAATGTTCAAATTAAAAAAAATATATATTTAATTTTTCATAAAAATTTCGAAAAAAAATATTTCAGTCAAAAGAAAATTTTTTAATGAAAATCTTTCGCGAAATGACACGTATAAATTTTACGTTACCAAATAAATAAATAACTGTTAATTAATCATAATTTCATAAATAGATCTAAAACGATATCACAATTTGTTCCGTTAAATTAAAATAAAGTTGCTTTTAGCCATTTTTGTTTTTGTCATAATATTTATTTTCATCTATATTAAAATAAAGTTCTTATGGAGAAAGAAAAAGGCATTAGATTATGGGTCATTGACTGAATGATTCAAAGAATAATAATGTATATTGGTACCCACCTATTTGGCAAAAAGATATCGTAAAATAATTGTCTATTTTTCTTATCCGAAAAAAAAACTTTTAAATCCTTAAATTTATTGCCGTGAAATATTTCTATGAATATTTAAATTTTCTTAAACGACAAATTGTCGCGAATGGATATGTGTTGTTTTCTACGTGACCTCATCTTTTCTTCTTCTTCTTCTTCTTTTTTTTCATTCTTCAAAACTAACCAGATTTGTTGAAAAATTATCACTCACATGTCTGTGTCTGGCTTTGGGTTAAGCACGTGCATTGATTATTTTGGTTATTTCTTTTTATTATTATTTGGTTTTTTTTTAAATGATATTATGATAATATATAGATAATGAAATAGTAATATAATTCCCCGGAAAGTGCCCCCTGGAGATTCTATCAGAATTCCGCCGGAATTCCATCGAAGTTCCAAAGAATTTCCGATGGGATTTCGACGGAATTCCAATGGAATTAGGACTTTAAAAATTTTGAAAAAAATTAATCGGAATTCCGTCGGAATCACCATCGGAAATTCTTTGGAACTCCGATGGAATTCCGACGGAATTACGTTGGAAGTTCCGGCGGAATTCTGATAGAACCTCCAGGGGTCACTTTCCGGGGAATCTTTCCAAGTGGGAAAACTAAAAATGGGGCGCATGAATTTTTCCAATAAAAATAATTAGTTAAAATTTTCATTTTAAATAATTTTATTAGATATTATTTTTTAGACGAATTATCATTTTTCGAATTAACATATTTGACAGAATTTTTTTTGAAGGAATTTTTCCTTAACAGATTTTTTAGGTACTAAATTTTTGTTTGACAGAATTTCTCTTTACAAACTTTTTATTTAAAAAGAAACCGAATTCTCATTCAACAGAATTTTAAGATATTCGAATTTTTAAATTATGTACCAAAATTTTTACTTTATTTTCTTACCTTACCTTACCTACATTTTTCCGAATTTTTATTTTGCACAAATTGTTATTTTCCAGAAGTTGTAAAACGCCGAATTTTCATTTGTCCGAAATTGCAAATGACCGAATAAACAATCGAAAAAAAAGATTTTGGCGCGAATTTTAAAATTAACCAATTACAATTTTCTTGATTTCTTATTGATGAATTTTAAAAATCGCGCCAAAATCTTTCTTTCGATTTTTTTTTCGGTCATCTGCAAATTCGAACAAATGAAGATTCGGTGAATTGGAAATTCTGGAATTTAGAAAATTCGAATCGCTTAAAATTCTGTTAAATGAGAATTTTGCTAAATTAATATTATTTGGTTAAATTAGAATTTTTTAAAATTAAAAATTGGTAATAAGAAATTAAAAAAAAATAAATCTGCCAACAAAAATTTGGTACCTAAAACTCTGTTAATGTAAAATTCGTATAAAAAGAAATTCTGTCAAATATTAATTCAAACAACGATAATTTAAAAAATAATTATATCTAATAAAATTCTTTAAAATGAAAATTTTAACTAACGATTTCTATTGGCAATTCATGAATCCGATTATAATTCTCAAATTGTAATAATAGTAATTTTTTTATAGAAAATAAAACATCTGTATTATATTATTTATTGTTATTATATATAATATGTACATAATTCATTTCTTACATCATCAAATGTAATCCTTTTTTTCTAATTTCATGTTAATCTATTTCACTCATTTACATCAAAGCTTTGCTGGATTTTGGGTTTAAATTATTTTTCATTTCTGACACTTTAAAAATATTTGAGTATAAACAGAATATGCTTTTCTTTACTTAAATATATATATAGGATGGAATTTTAAATTATTCATTTTTAGGATAAAATAATCACACAAAGAGTTTGTCGAACTAAAGTGTCCAATATTTAAATGAAGTATTTGCTTGAAATAAAAAAATTTCTGTTTTAAATTAAACAAATTTTTTTTGTTTTTCAGAATAAAAACAAGAATTTGTTTTTTAATAATAATTTTTTTAACTCAATTTCTTTTTTATAAATTAAATTTTTTTCATCGTAATATTAAAAATGATTGCAAAAAGACATTTTGAAATTTATTTATATATTAATAATTATTTTAATAAGAATTTATGTTTAATAATAATGATAAAAATTTACATCAATGAATTGCATTTGTGAAAAATGCGTTTGTCCATGAAATCATCCAATTTGCATATGATAATAATTTGTTTGCGAATTGAAAAGTTAAAGTTAAATTTCATTGAACAACATTAATTTCAGTACCAATATACCAAGTGGTGCCAGTATTACATTCGGTGCACAAGAGAAATCCAGATGCAAAACAGGAAGTGCATCTCAAGGCGTTCGGAAGAGATTTCCATTTGTCCCTGGAGCCAACAGAAAGACTGTGGTCGGGAGAACACTTGCCAATGTTGACAGTCACTAGAAATGATTCGCAACCAAATGGATTGGATTACGAGATAGTTCCAGAAGTGAGTATATTCAGTGAGAAAAGAAAAAAAAATTGAATATAAAAATTAAATCTTAAAGAAAACAGTACGATTAACTCAATTGAAAGTAGAGATAGAAATTTTTTTTACAAAGCCTCTTTTAAAATTTATGAAATTCTACTTGTCATGAATTAAAATAAAAATTTTAATGATCTATAAATTAAAAATTTTTAGAACTAAATTTTTTTTTTTTTTATTTTTTCAGGTACTAAAATTAAGATTCAAAATTGGAAAATTTATTGTAAATTTTGCATCATCTGAGAAGTTATAACAAAAAAATTCCATAATTTTTCTAATTTTATACCATGACTTTGGATAAATTGGAAAAATCTATAAAAAAAATTGTTGCAAAACTATAATTTTTTTTACCAGTTTTTTAAAAAAAATTGTAAATTTGAAGCAAAAATTTAAAACAGCCTCAAATTATTACAGAAAACTGGAACAAAAATTAAATTCTGTAATAATTGAAGGTCATTTTAATTTTTGTTCTTGTTTTCTGTAATATTTTGAGGCGGTTTTAATTTTTGCTCCTGGGATGTAATTATGTAATTTTATTTTCACTTCTACTTCAATTTTCACTTTCGAATTTCACTTTAATTTTTACTATCATTTTTATTATCATTTTTCACTTTCAATTTCACTTTCATTTTAACTTTTAATTTGTGACTAAAAAATGAAAGTAAAAATGAAAGTGAAATTCAAAGTCAAAGTCGAAGTGGAAGTCAAAGTAAAATTACATAATTGTATCCGAAGGAGCAATAATTAAAATGGCGCCAAATTATTAAAGAAAAGAATTTTAATTTTTGCTCCTGGTAATTTTATTTTGCCTTCTACTTCAGCTTTGACTTTAACATTGAATTTTACTTTCATTTTTACTTTCATTTTTACTTTCGTTTTTTATTTTCATTTTCACTTTCATTTTTTAATGAATAATTGAAAGTGAAAATGAAATTGAAAAATCAAATTCAAAGTCAAAATGAAATTACATTTAAAGTTTTGCTCAAGTTCAATATAAATTTGAATAAAAAACAACGCAATTTTAATTTTGCTCGAACTTTTAAGTAAATTTGGAACAAAAATTAAAATATCATTCTTACTCCAAATTTACGTGAAATTGGAGCAAAATTGAAATATCATTGGTTCATTTGATCTGAAATTATGTAGAAAAAATTAAAATGAAATAGAATTAATTAAAGAAAATTGAAGGAAAAATAAAAATGGTATCGCTTTACTAATAATTTTAATAATTTATTTTCTTAAATAAAATAAACTAAGTTTACAATGATCAAGTAGTACAAATTTTTAATTTTTAAAACAATTTTGTTTTTCTTTGAATAAGAAGAAGAAAATTTTGATATATAAATTATAGAAATGAGGTTAATTTCGTAAATGTGTAATATGGGTGTGAAATAATTATACATGTTTATTATTGTTTTTTTTTTAGGCGGGAACAGATATTGGTGACGCCTACCAGGATGAAGAGAATATGGCATCAATTGTGCTGCACCGGAACGAGGATGAGAAAGTGCTCGTTGTAAGAAACCATTCTTTCTTAATATTTCTTTCGAAATTGTGTATGTGTATGTGTGTCTATTATTACAAACAATCTTTCATCAACTTAGCCCAGTCCTCATGATGTTATAATTATAGCAATACCGGTTGCAATTCATCGTGCACGTGCACTCACCTCAAAGACAATTGACAATTAGGGGCGTTGACATTGCTCTTCCTCTGCTCGAAATAGAGATTCAAATTATATTTCTTATGAATGTACTTTATATATATCTCTTGCATATTTTCTATAAGATAGATAATTTTTTTTTTTTATCGAAAATTTAAAAAAAATTTCCTGTTAAGTTTCAGTAGCTTTGCATTTATTTTGAATGTTTTGTGTCATCTTGTTTTTATTATATAATAATAAAATTCTTGGTCAAATTTTGACAATTCTTTTTTTCATTTTTCCCAAAGTTGTATAATTGTGTTTCCAAATTTCGGAATAAGTTTCTTTAAAATTCCAAATTTGAAAATTCAATTCACGAAGCTGAAGTACACAACGTTTACCAACGAAATTTTTTTTAAAGTTGTATATTGATTCAAAAATTGTACAAAAAATTTATGATGAGAAAAAAGATGCACCAGGAAATTTCGTACAAGATAGTAATTTGAAAAAAATTTATTTTTAAAAATTAATTTTTAAGGTACCAGGGGCCAACGAATACCTATATTAAATATTAATTATAAAAACACAGGCCTCGAATCAACTTAAAGACACAAAAAGTCGTTTTAGTGGATTTATATTCCAAAAAAAAAGTGGATTTGTTTTTTATTTTAACAAAAATATTTTACAGATTTTTAAATAAAAAAATTTTTTTTTAATAATAATCCTTTTCGAAGGGTTAAAGTTGAAATTTTTAGAAATAATTAAATTTCAAAAGATATTGTTAATTTTCAAACAATTATTAAATTTTACAGAACTAAAAATAATTTATTAAACAATTTTTGGAAAACATTTTTTGAATTTAATTGAATTTTCAAAAATTTTAAATTAAGATTTTTGCAATTAAATGAAACTTTAAGTGTTTTGTAATTAAAATACAATATTTTGAAAATCATTTATAATTGAAAAATGGTTTTAGATAGTTGAAATTTCAAAGAATATTATTAAAATAGTTAAAAATAATTGAATTTCCTTAGAGTTTTAATTGAAATTATTAAATTTCAAAAAAACAATTTTCGATGGAAAATTTTAGAAATAATTAAATTTTAGATGCTTTTAAATTCAAATTATTAAAAATTCAATTAATTTTGAATTCAAATTTTTGAGAATAATTAAATTTTATTTGATTTTCAATTTGGAAAATAATTGAATTTCAGTTCATTTTGAATTGAAAATTTTGAGAAATAATTGAATTTAAATTGAAATTTTGGATAATAATTTAATTTAGGTTTATTAAATTCCCGTAAATAAATAAATAAATTATTGATTGAAAATTTGGATAATTAATTTCGAATAGAAATTTTAGAAAATAATTGAATTTTATTTCATTTTAAATTGAAAACTTGGTAAATAATTAAATTTTAAATTGAAAATTTTGGATAATTATTGGATTTTTAATTGATTTTGAATTAAAATTTCGGGTAATAATTGAATTTTAGTTTATATTGAATTGAAATTTTTAAAAAATAATTCAATTTTATTGTGATATTTTTTTTTAATTATAAATAATTGTTAAATTTCATAAAAATTTTAATTGAAAAATAATTTTGATATAATTGAATTTGTGATGTATTTCATTAAAATTATTAAAAATAATTAATTTAGTGAAGAATCATTTTAGTTTAAAATTTGTTAAATAATTGAATTGAAGAAGATCTGAAGAAGATCTACATTTTATACTAAAAAAATGTATTTTATTTACATTTTTTTTCAAATGTAAAAAAAAATGTCGCATTTTATTAAAATAAGTCGATAAAAGTCGTATTTTTGAAAAAAGTCGGAAAAAGTCGTATAATCCGAGGCCTGTAAACATATAATTTTCATTATTATCATTTAATATGTAATAATATTCTAATAAATTAAATTATTATTGATAATATTAATTTTTAATTTCTTTATAACAAACAATTAAATAATCAATTTGGCGCGCTTGCGCGCGTTTAATTTTGCTAGTTATTTAATAAATACTTTGTTTTCTGAGAGATGAAAAATTTTTAGATTTTAACTAATATTTTTACTTTTAAATCCGTGCAACAATAATAAATCTTTATGGATTTTTATTTGTGAATAGGGGGTTTAAATTTTTTTTTTGTACTTTTCAATGCCAAAAAAAGTTTTAAAAAAATGTTAACCCCATGTTTTTCAAAAATTAACCCTTATTTTTCATTTTTTACTACATTGCCCCTCTTAATTTTTTTTGTTCTTAACAAATTTGAGGTTTTTTTCCAATAAATTATGAAAATATGAAAAAGGGTTTATTTTGAAAAATTGGCGGACGTTTATGGAGTTTTGCATTTCCGTGGAAAAACGTCCTTAACATTTTGATTTTATCTTTTAACTCAGTCAAAAATCGCAATTTTTATCTAATTTCCATAAAAAAAAAAAAAAAATAGCTTGTTATACTCATTAAAATTCTCTCTGCAATCGTAATTTTTTCAAGGTTGATAAAAAAATGATTTAAATTAATAAAAACAATTTAATTTATTTGTAGGTTGAAGAAAATATTAAATTTTTTTTTTAAATTTCGATTACAAAAGCAGTAAAAAAAACTATCATTTATAAAAAAAAATTATATATAAAAATTTCGATTTTTGTCTGAGTTGAAAAAATATTTTTTTTTCAAAATAAATATTAATTTTTTAATTTTTGTTCCCATTAATCCTTTTAAAAAAATTTTTTTTTATTTTTATTGAAAAGTTTTTCTTATTTTTCGGTCCAATTTTTTTAAGGGGGAAAAAAGAGTTTAAAAATAAAAAAAATTGTGTTAATTCTTTTTTTAAAAAAACGGTTTTTTGCATTGAAAACTACATGAAAAATATTTTAAAAACAAATAAAAATTTTAAATATTAACGAATTAAAATCCACAAAATAATAATGGGTAAATATAATAATCAATTAACTGAAGTAAAGTATAGCCAATTTTAGATTTGATTTTAATGTAAATAAATCAATTTTATAAAAATTCCACACAATTTTTGTTTGTAAACGTAGAAATTAGTTTTTCACGTTAAATTTATTATTTGCAACTGATTTCTTAAAAAAAAAAAATATGGAGAACATGAAATTGTGCATGTATAATTATTTTTAGTATAAAATCAATTTTCGAGAAAGTAATTCTTTGAAATAAATCATAAGTTACGTAAAAAGTGCGTGTCATTTGGATGCGCAAAGGTTAAAAATAATTGAATTTTCCAGACTGTTGCATTTAATTAAAAGTTGTCTTTTTTTTTTTTTTTTTAAATAGCTTGAAGATTTCTTGTCGATGTTTTAGTGATTTGAACATTTAAGTTCAAAACCTTTTAGTTGAGACACGTAACGTTTTAGGTCACACTTATGTAATGAATCGCAAAAGCGTTGTTTTTAGTGACCCCGTGTTGTACTGACCTTTCGCTTTCTACTCTTTCTCTCTGTCTCATCTTCAATTTGACCGATGCGATGCATTGCATTTTGCGATGAAATTCGAAATAGCCAATCCCATGAATAAGTGCATCACACTTTATGGTGATCTAATCATTCTCATCGCAACATTTATGTCCAATAAACTTAATGCACCGCTCGCTAAAACGCTCGTTAAGTTTTATTTTTAATTCGTATTCAATTTTTCGTCTTCCGCATTATATTAAAATAATTTTTTTTTTAAAGAATTTTTTATTCAATTTATTTTTTAATTAAAAAATTTCAATAATTGTTCTTAATTCAAATTCTTCAAATTTTCAAAAAATTTTCCTTTTTAAAATATGATTTTTTCCATCAATTTGTTGTTTTTATGGAATTTTTAAAATTTATTAATTAATAAATAAAAAATAATTAAATAAATAAATTTTTACCAACAAAAAAAAATTCTCGATTTCTCTCACTAAATCTAGTTTTTCGTATCTTAATTTCTGAAATTATTATTTCTTCTGCTCTAGGGAATTTTTAATTTCTTCAAACTTTCATTTTTTTATTTTCTGAAATTCGATTTTTTCAACCATTTTTTTTTTGTTTTTTCAAAATTCATAAAATTTATTTATTTATTTACTTTTATAAACTTGCTCACAATTTTTCTCAATTTTTCCCGTAAATTCTTTTAGTTGGTGCATTTCTAAAATTCTTAATTTACCTTTTCTTCAACCTTTTTCATTTCTTTAAAATTTTCCATTTTTTACACTGAAAAAAAAATTTATTTAATAATTCAAATACTTGATTACTTGAGTATTATTAAATAAATATTTACTTGAACTAAATAATTTTTATTTGAATTAAATAAATTGTATTTGAACCAATAATTTTTGTATTTGAAACAAATATACCATTTAATCGACTTAAATAATAATTATTTGATACAAATAAATATTTATTTGATAATAGTTAAGTAATCGAGTATTTGAATTGAATAAATTTTTTTTTCAGTGTATTAATTTTCTACTATTCTTGTCTCATTTTTATTCTTTTTTTCAATTTTTCCTTTCAATTATCTTTTCTGAAATTCCATTTTTTCATTAATTTTCAAATATTTTTGATTTTCCTTTTATTCAATATTTTGTATTTCTTTGAATTTTTCCATTTTCTATTAATTTTCTAAAATTCCCAGTTTTTTCAATTTTTCCTTCAAATTTTCTTTCTTGGATTTCTTAAAATTTCTTATACTTCTTTCAATTTCTTCGTTTTATTTTATTTTATTAAATTTTCCATTTCCTTTCATTGTTCTAAAATTCTCGCTTTTTTTTCTTTTTTGATTTTTTTCCTAAAATTTTTCTATTTTTATTTTGAAAATTTCTGAAATTTATTTACTTTAACGGGACTAAATTCTCAATTTTTTCTCTTAAATTCTCGTTTTTTTTTATAAATTATAAATTTTTCTTTTAATTTTTTTTACTAATTGCTGAAACAAAAAGTGAGACAAAATTTTGCTAAGAAGGAGTTATTTTTAACTAATTCAAATTTAGAGATGAGTCATTTTATTATCATAAAGGGAACAAGAAAAAAAATCAGGATTTTGTTCAACTGCGAAAATAATAGAGACAATGCGTAATAAAATTCACAACTAGATTTTATAATAATTCATATAAAATAAAATGTACATAGCATTTATATAAATTTCTTGGAAGTAAGGTTGATAATTTGAAATGAAGGAAGGAAACAATTTTATATAAAATGAGATACTAAATATTCATAGGAAATATCAAGTCGTAAAAACAAGTTCGCATATAGTTTTTTTTTCTTTTTTTTTTTTTTATTTCTTTAAATGACCGCCTTTGATTTTTCTTTTATCTAGCATGGGAATATTGGATCGGAATATGTGATTCGTCCACTTCCACAGCGTGTGATAAATGAAGTCGTGAGTCAAATTAAAAATCTTCACGAGCCACATCTGTTGCCCAATGTCACGAGGGTGAAAAGGAACCTGAAAAATACACATCACCATGTTGTATTCAAAATTTCAGAACGTCCTTTAAACGACGAGTTTAGTGACTTTGGTAAGTTATAAATTCCAAGAAAAATGTCTATAAATCACTTCAAATAAAATGTCTTAAATTTTCTTATATTATTGATTTTATAATTAATATTTTTTTTTTTTTATTAGAATAGAATAGAAAATAAAAATGATGTTCTTTAATGAATAATTTTAAGCCCTTTTTCTGATTTAAGTTTTATTTTAAAAAAAATATTTTGAGGTCTTTGACCTTTTACTACTTTAAATATAATGAGGTGCTTTGATATTCAATTTTATTCCGGTTATCTTATGTGTGAAATCATTTTTTTTTCTGAGTAAGAAGCGGTAATGAAATATTAATGATATTTTGAATTGGTAATCTGGAAGAATCATTTTTTTCAAAGAGAGCGATTTTTTTTTTTTTGCGTATCATATTTGAAAAGGAAAATGATTCAATACTCTTTATTTTACCTTTATTATTTATTTTGAATTTAACCACTGATAAATTATTTAATAAGAAATGTAATACAAAATGAAAAATTATTATTTATTATAATTTTATATTGAAATTTTATTGTTTTTGAAAAAAGGATAAAATTAAAAAAAATTTTCTGTTTTTTTTTATAGCTTTTATGGAGCCAGATCATTTGTCAAAGAAATTCAGGAAGAAAAGATCGATCAGCGTTAGATCGAAACGTGATGCGCCATATGTAATTTATCCTGAAATTCTTTGTATAGTAGATTACGATGGTTACAGGTAATTAATTTTTTATTATTACAATTTTAGGCGCATGATTATTCCATAAAAATAATTAATTAGAATTATCAATTTAATGAATTTTATTAGACATAATTAATTTTTAGACGAATTCTCATTTTTCGAATTAACACTTAAAAGAATAAATTTCTTTTTAAACAAATTTTTATTTAACAAAATTTTTTTGTACTGAATTTTTCTTTCACAGAATTGCTTTTAACTCAACTTTTTATTCAAACAAAAAAAAAATCTAATTTAACCAAATTTTAATTTAGCATTAATTCGCATTCAACAGAATTTTAAGTGATACAAAATTTTAAATGACAAAATTTCTAATTTACCGAATCTTCATTTATTCATATCAAATAACAATTTGTACAAATAAAAATTCGGTGAATTGAAAATTGTAGCATTTAAAAATTCGAAGCACATAAAATTTTATTAAATGAGAATTCTGTTAAATTAAAATTCGGTTAAATTAGAATTTTTTAAAAATAAAAAGTCGTGTCAAGAAAAATTCTATCAAATAAAAATTTAATATCTAAAAATTCTTTAAAGTAAAAATTTGTTTAAATTTTCATCATAAACATGAATGCATAACTTTAGAATCTGTTAAAAAATTTTTAATTTGTCTTCAATTAAAGCTAAAATTTTAATAATAAAATTGTATATATTAAAAATTTTTTTTTTATTAAATTTTTATATTAAATTTGTATAAATTTTAAATGTTTCTATTAAATTTTTGTATATTTTAAAGTTTAATTTAATAAATAATGCATTTTATCTTTTATAACATTGACTCATTCATCAAAAATAAAGTACATATTTTTGTTTTTTTTTTGTTTCCTTCTTTTTGATAGAATAAGTACTTTATTCAAAGAATTCCCTCGAATTCGATAGATATGATTGTTTCGTCGAAAAGTATCATTTGCTAAGTGTCTCCTTTTTTTTATGAAGAAAAAAGAAAAAAAAAAGATAGAGAAAAAATAACATCATATATGCTTTTAGATTGCACGGCGGTGACAATGTGCAAATTAAGCGGTACTTCGTTTCATTTTGGAATGGAGTGGATCTCAGGTACAAATTACTAAAAGGTCCCAAAATTAGAATCAGCATCGCTGGAATTATAATATCACGCGTGAGTAAAATTTCCTCTTTAAAATACATATTCATCATCATTTTTTTCTTATATATTTCATTATTTTTAAATACGTCAAAAAATTTTTCTTATTATAATCTTAATGTTACTAATAATGTTAATAATAATAATAATAATAATATTAATAATAATATTAATAATAATATTAATAATAATATTAATAATAATATTAATAATAATAATACTAATAATAATAATACAAATAATTTAGAAGTTAAAATTTTTAATCGGACTCTAATCACTCTTTTCAGTTAATTTATCAAAAAAATTTTTAGTGATGTAAATTAAGCTATATATCTTAAAACTTCATCGGAATTTTTGAATAATTTACAAGTTAACTAATACATATAATATAGTATCTATTTCAAAAGCTTTATAAGAAATATTGAAAATTAATTTTCTGTTTATTTCTTTTTTTTCCATATCTAGAATTCATTGGAATATTTTTTTTTTTTTTTTTTGGAAATTTTTGTCTTCCATAAGAAGCCGTTTATATTATTTCCAAATTAGGTATAATTATGGAAATATTAATAGGGCGTGGAGAGGGGATTTATAAAAATTGATTGTCGAGAATATAAAATTTGAAAAAATATATATATATAATTAATTACACAGTCGCACACAAAAATAAATTTTTTTTCTGTCCTGGGGGGTCTGACATATGTATTTGACGTCACTGAATCTAAATCTATTTTACCCCATTACGTCATTTTTTTTTTTTTTGACATAATCAGAAAAAGTCTTCACAGCAAAACAAAAACTAATTCTGACATGGAGCTCAGGGTAATTTTATTATTTATTTTTTGTTTTCATCAGCGAAAAATTTGAGATAGCAATAATTGTCTTATTCTGGAGCCATGTGATTTTTCTGCCCGTGATGACAAAAGTTCAAATTTTGAAGGGCCCCAGTTATTATTTTTCCAAAATATTTTTTTTTCCACACTGAAAAAATGTTAGTGCAGCAGCAAGTGAAAAATTTCTATATTCAAATAATTTGATATTTAATATATTTGCCATGAGTTTTTTATATATATATATATATATATATATATATATATATATGATTGAAGTTAACGGAATATAGAAATTTTTCGATTGGATCCCTTATCTTATAAATTTTCTAAATCCGAAAGATTGTGCAAATTTATGCAAAAATGCACTTGCAAAATGAAAAGTAGAAAAGTATTATAATGACAGGTTCATTATGTCCTGTCGCCGTCAGATGGCGGGAGAATAAAGTCGCAGTTGTTATATTACATTTCAACTTTTTCATTTTACAATCGCGTTTTTGCATGAATTCGCATAAATAATCTTTCGGATTTAGGAAAATGTCGAAAGAACTTTTTTACGATAGATTTTTATATTATAAACATTCAGATGGAAAGAACAATGTGAAATACATTCTTGGATATATTTAAAAAAGCCATCGGCTACAGCTTATATTTTTTTAATCTTATTTTTTAAAATAATTTTTGTACTCTTAACTTTTTTAATAGTTTAAAACTTTTTTTTTAATTTTATATTTTGGGACATATGGACATTTTAAGGTTTGAAAATTTTGTACTTTGGACAAATAAATATTTGATTTTTAAATTTTGAATTTTTTTTTGTTGAACATAATTTGAAAAAAATTTTTTTTGTACAGCTGTGATTATGATATAATTGAATAACAAATAATTTTTTTCACCTATTATAGGGCAGGGACGCGACACCTTATTTGGAACGAAATCGCGTTGGACGCGATGCCATCGATTCCGCAGCTGCCTTAACGGATATGGGCAAATATCTTTTCCGCGAAAGGAGACTTCCGGTCTACGACATCGCTGTTGCCGTCACAAAGTAAGAGTGTCTTTTCTTAAGGTTATTTTAAATATAATAAAAAGGGGGACGATTTTCAAATTGCAAAAAAAATCTACATATTTATCCTCTAAAAGAATATAATTAGAAAAAATTTCTAGAAAAAAAATAGAACAACTAAAATTAGTACCGACTGAATGTTATATAAATATAAAATATTTATAATATATTTTATATTTATTCTTTTTTATTTATTATAAAATTATAACTTTATATAACTTTTTAATTTGTCTGAAAATACTTCCTAGAAAGAGAAAATTTTTTTTTTACCTTTTGATAATGGGAGATTTCATTTTTTTTTTTTTTTTATTTTGTATCAGGTAATAAAATTAATTTTTCAATGTCAAATTTTTATTTCGACAAACAGGTATGATATGTGCCGTCGTAGGAAAGGCGGTCGCTGCACTAAGGGAACTGCCGGTATGGTTTATTATACACTGATAATGCATTTTTATTAATTTTCTATATATAGGTATGTTTTGTGCTTGTCGAGATACGTGTAATCCCAAATTATTTATTAACGTTGACGTTAAATTCACGTTTGTTTATAAATCTAAACGGGTAATTGATAATTTTAATTTCATTTAGAAACAAATTAATTTCCTTTCTCGAATATTATGCTCCTGGTATTTTTATTATTTTTTTTTTTTATTAATAATTTAATATTAGTAAAAATTTAATTTAATATTTTTATTTATTTCAAAATTCAAAAAAAATTGATTATTATTAATTAATTAAAAATTATTATTAACAATTATGAATTTTATAGATTTTTTATTTTAATCGAGAAAGGAACTTAACAAAAATTTTTCTAACAGAGGCTGCGCTTTGGATGAAAATTTTTTTATCAGAAATCGATCACAAATCTCGAAGAAAAATTAAAATAAATATTAAAAAAAAAAAAAATTATGACATTTATTAAAATAAAATAATAAATTAATAATAATTATCATCGAGATTTGAGATTTTACCATAGCATGATGTAGAAATAAATAATATATATGTAAATCAGTTGAATATTGACGAAAAAATTATTTCGTTTTTTTGGGGAGATAAAATATAAAATGAAATTTTTTTTATTTAATGGGTATATTAATATTAATTATAATATTGTTAAATGTACTTTTTTTTCTTTTTTTTTCCATTAAATATTGTATTTGTGTTTGGCTTGTCTGCATGCACTATATAAGAAAGCTTCTAGGAAGTATTTGCTTGGCTGTTATTTCTTTTTTTTTTCTTTTTTTTTATTATTAGACGATTATTATGTATGTGTTACAAATGTAAACAATATAATATAAATTTTTTTTTTTTATTAACGTTCTAACTTCCCAGAATTGAGGTGGACTGCGACCAGCGGCTCATAAAACGATTCGTGTAAACATGTCGTTTCTTGATTTAATAACATTTTTATGAATTTAATAAAATTTCCATAGGGCTGACAATATTTTTTTTTCTTTTTATGTGTTTTTCAGTATCTTGATTATATTTATTATATTATACATTAATTCTCTAAAACATCAGAGTGTTGATATTTATGTCGAAATCTTGTCTCGTGACGTGGAGCATACGTCATCGTCCATTAATTAACGATGATAAAAGATTTTTTTGTTATTGCGTTGCAGATTAGATATGTGCAGGAGGCAATATGCGAATGACGTGTGCAATAGAGGAACTGCAGGTACGTTTCTCATACAAAAAAAAAAGTATAAAAGCAAACAAAAAAATATATATTGCACCTGAATTTTTTTAATTTTTGAACCTGGACTTAGTTTTTCTGTATGTCAAGTTGAGTTATTTATTGTATTTTTCATGCTAATTATTATTATTATTATTATTTAATTATTTTAATAATTTATGTTTTTTTAATTTATTTAATTATGTATAAATTTTATTCATCTGCTAAGAGAAATGTCGAAAAACTTTTTTAAATTTCGCGCCACTTGGCGGCGCTATTGCTTATATTTTCTTGTTACACAGTTGTTATACTTGCTAATCTGAAAAATTACCCTTTTTGTCTAAGATATAAATCTTATCATCTTATTCGAAAATTAAATATTTCTTATTTATTTTATTTATTATTAATTATTATTATTATTGACATTTAATTATTTAAATAATTGGTTTTTTTATTTATTTAATTATATTTAAATTTTATTAATTTGCTAAGAGAAATTACTTTTGAGTTTTTTTTAAATTTCGCGCCATTTTTTTAGTGGCGCTGTTGCTTGATTTTCTCGTTACACAGTTGTTACACTTGTTAACATAAAAAATTCCCCTTTTTATCTAAAATATAAATTTTATTATCTTATTCGAAAATCAAATATTGTTTATTTTATTTGTTATTATTTAATTAATTATTATAATTATTTTTATTATTATTATTTGTATTATTGGTATTATTAGTATTAAATATTTATTTTCTTCATTATAATAATATTTTATTTTCTTAATTGAGTGAAATCATTTTTAAACAAGACTCAAGTTGATATTATATTTTTTTTAAATAAAATTCTAAATAAAATATAATATTTTTATTGCAAATAAAATTTATTTATATAACGCTTCGAAAATTGAGTCCAGGTTCTTAAGATTCAATGTTCAGATTGAGTCAATTTTTTTAGTTTATTTTCGAGGGAGAAAAAATTAAATTAATTAAATATTTTTAAAAAAATATTTAATTAGAAATTAATATTTTTTTTTACAAAAAAATTTTTCTTAATTTTTTTGTGTTTTAATTTTTGTACAAAAATGTTTTATTTTTTTATTACATATATCCATGAGCAACATTTATTATTGGAAGTGAAATATTTACAAAAAAAAAAAAAATGGTGGAAAACGTCTTCTTCTTCTTATTCTTCTGTACGGGTTGTTCTTTATTTCTCTTTTAAGGGGGTTTTTGTTTTCACAATTTTCTCACTTTTTTTCTCTCAACCACCTACAACGAGGAATCACTCATTTGGTCAGGATTTTCAATATAATAATGCATTGTGAATAACGAAAAACATTATAAGTTTTTTTCTCACATTCTACATTCTTTTACTTTTTTTTCATTGGCACAAAATAATTGTGTTAATTTTTCTTCTTTTTTTTCAATTTCTCGACCTTTATTTCTGATTTTCGCTGCACAAATGCGAAATTATCAACTTTTTATTCTATAGCTGTAAAAAAAAAACAAAATTATTGTGACTAAAAATAATTATTAGGAAATATTTTTGTTCGTTCTTGATTTTTTTTCATCACTGCAATTATTTTCATTTCTTTTTTTTTTTTTGGGAATTTGGCAGTATTTTCATAATTTTAGAAATTTCTGTCTACATATTTTTCTCTTCTGCACACATTTTAATGTTCACTTTCTGTGACGCTTGAATGAGTGGTAATATAGTTATAAAAATGATTTTTTTTTAAAAAACTATATTTCGATTTCTATAATTCGTTTCGATAAGTATATCGATTTCATGAAAATTGAATTTATTGAATGAAAACAATTTTAAGAGATAAAAACAATAAATTATTTTCTGACTATATTTTTCGATAAATATAGGTGAGAAATTTTTTTGTTTTTAAGAACCACTCTTTTGTGTAATTAATTTTTAAAAAATGTGTCATAGAGAGTATAAAGGTCGTCTCATGATTATGAAAAAGAAATTAATGATGATTAATTATTAATTAATAATTAATGATTTTCAATGACTTTTGAAAATAATAATTTTGAGATGCATCTCGCCTTTTATACATAAAAATGCGTTATTTTATTATTTCCAATTTTTCCAAACTGTATACTTAAAATGTCTATCTTATTTAAATACTTTCTTTTCTTTCGGATGCATTTCTGATATGGACCGCGGTCGGTAAGTCTTTGAAAATAAAAAAAAAAATCCTTAAACTCAAAGAATAATTCTGGACTATTGTCACATATCGCAGATAATTTAAAATTTGCATGTAATTTTTAATTTTCTATTTTTTTTTAATATAAAAAATTTTTTTTATTTTACAAATTTTATTTTTTGTAATTTTTTATTATTGTCGATTTATTCAATCGCATCTTTTTTTTACAAAAAATGTTTATTTTTTTACATTAAATAAAAATTTAATTATTTGAAAATTAAATAATTTTGTGTTTTATTTTTCTGTTATAAATAATCAAAATTGCAAAATTAAAAATAAAATTAAAATAAATTAAAATATTTTTAAGTAATTAGAATAATTAGGTTTTTGATTAAAATTCAAAATTTACGGTATTTGACAAAGTCTTCTTCATTCTCCGAGACTATTTAAAAAAAAAACAAGTCTAACTAAAAATTAACACTATTTAGATGCATGTCGCTTACAAAGGCTAGGCTCGCTTCGACTGAGGAAAATAATAATTAATAAATTGAAGCTTTGAAAGTCGTCGTGATCAATTACTATATACTTACTATTATTTATTCTAATTTTACTATTAACTCTATAAAAATTAACAAATTATTTTTTTTGGCTTGAACAACATACAACGGAAGAGCAAACTTTAGAATTGCTCTGGTATTTTATTTTAACAAACAAAAAAACAAAATTGAATGATTGAATAAAAGAGGGTAATAATATTATTAGTATGTTTTTTTTTTTAAGTATAACTACAAATTAACTGTTAATTTAATTAATATATAAATGGATATTAAGGAATAATTGTGAATTATTAATAATAATGATTTAAGTATCGAAATACAGTTAGTGTATTTTAACAATCGAGATAATATATAAAAATTTAAAAATTATAATTATTTGATGAATATAATAATTAACAAGAATTTTTGTACAGGATTCGCGTATGTTGGTGGAGCTTGTGTCGTTAACAAGCGGCTCGAAAAAGTAAATTCTGTCGCTATCATCGAGGATACTGGCGGTTTTAGTGGAATTATTGTTGCTGCACATGAAGTTGGTCACTTGTAAGTATTTTCAATTTTTATTATTATTACTACTTTTTTTTTTAATTTTATTTTATTTACGTTTAAAAACGTTCCAAAAACGTATTTTTTTGAGAATTCTCCTCAAATATTTATTTAATTCAAATAAAAATTATTTGATAAAAATAAATATTTATTTGATACATTTTTTTCAGTTTCATAATTCTCTCAAGTCCAAAAAAAAGTTTTTAAATTTGCAATTACGAATAAAGTTTCTAATTTCATTTTATGAAAATTTTTTTTAAATTGAAAATAAAAAAACAATTGAGCGTCTACATGCAATAATCGGTCGAGCGCTCGGCTGAACGCTGTAATGCCAGTCAGACGGGTCAAAAAGTAAAAAAAAAAGAAAATGAAAATTTTGATTTTTAAAAAATAGTACCATGCAGAAAATGAAGAGGCGCATCTTTTTTTCCTTTGAGATTTTTTTATAGGACGAAAATTTAATTTAATAAATCCAAAAAACTGAAAATATTTTTTTCACTATTTTCATTATATTTTTAAACATAAATCGTCGTAACTTCCACAAATATTAATGAAATCGATTAAAATTCGGTATACAAACGCATTAGGGTCTAGAGAATACGATAAATTAATAAAAAAATTTATAATCATTAATTATTCAATAAATTATTATTATTATTAATGACGTGTCGATAATCACGATTTCTTACCTTCGCCGAGAAAAAGTCTGTGAGGAACTTTCGAGTTGAAAGAACTTCCAGTGAGACATTTGTTTATTAATATATAAAGAAGTTTTTTGGAAATTTTCGAGTCAATTCATTCACAACTTTCAAAAATATAAGTGTTTTTTGAAAAAGCGGGTGGCGCGCTAGCGAGTCGCCGCGTGGAGAGTTTCGTCTGCTAGAATAATAGGCGATAGTGTTTTGTTTTCGTACATATTTTTTATTTATTTTCGTATATAAGCAAGCATGTCCGGCAATGTTCTCTAGACCCTAATGCGTTTGTATACCGAATTTTAATCGATTTCATTAATATTTGTGGAAGTTACGACGATTTATGTTTAAAAATATAATGAAAATAGTGAAAAAAATATTTTCAGTTTTTTGGATTTATTAAATTAAATTTTCGTCCTATAAAAAAATCTCAAAGGAAAAAAAGATGCGCCTCTTCATTTTCTGTATGGTACTATTTTTTAAAAATCAAAATTTTCATTTTCTTTTTTTTTTTTACTTTTTGACCCGTCTGACTGGCATTACAGCGTTCAGCCGAGTGCTCGACCGATTATTGCATGTAGACGCTCAATTTTTAGTCTATACTTAAGGCCAGGTCAAAGTAGATGGCGCTGCCTCACTTGGACCTGGCCTTAATGACTTAATTTAGTCCTAACATAACCTCAAAACTGAAAAATGGTTTCATTTTATTACATATTTAAAAAAAAGATAATATGTAATTCAAAATAATATTTTTCGAAAAGTGTATAATTAAAGTTTTATAAAATTGATTGAAATTAATTTTTATTAAAGTTCTGTTTGCGTTAAAAACTATTTTTCAGATTTGTGGTATGTTAGGACCAACACAACATAAATGGTTAGGAGTAGCCGTATAAGTTTAGTTAAAAATAAATTTTTTTATTTTCAATTTAAAAAACTTTTCACAAAATAAAATTACAAACTTTATTCGTAATTGCAAATTTAAAAACATTTTTTTTAGTGAGGTACGCATGCGAGAACTTTAATTTCGTATTATTTACGTCCTTAAAAAAACATAGTCAATGTAAAAAAATTTAAAACGTTTTTAAAACGACCTACGTACATTTTTTTCTGAACCGAAAAAAAAATAATTTGATTCAAATAAATTTTGAAAAGTCATTAAGTCTGCCATATTAAATCAGCCATTTTGAATTTTTTAAAACTAACTTCGTATTTGTAATCACTGACCCCGAAAAAACCCTAAGATAATGTTCTCTTTTTTTTTGCAAAGATTCCAGTAAATGAATTGAATAAACTATTTTCCCACGAATAATAATATCCTGAAAATACTCTTAAACGATGATATCTGCTAATTTGCCAAAAACACATTAACTTATTTCCTTTTTCTGATTCACTTTTTTTTTCTTTTTCTTCCTTTTTCACATCTTTTCATTCTCTTCCTCTTCTTCATTGATAGAAAAAAAGAAGAAAAAATTATTTTTTTAAAAAGAATTATACCATAAAGTCGGCATTTATTATATATGTATATATATCCTTTGGTTGAGAGCGAGAAATTCATTATAGTTTTTGTTAGAGTAAATCGTTTACTGAAAATGAGCCAAGATTATATGTTTGCTCACGCCAAGTATAATTTGACAGTGACCTTACTTTTTGAAGACTTGACGTGAATCAATCAAGAATCAGGAAAACAAAATTGCACGTTATTATGATATTACAACTGATTTGTTAGAGAATATTGTGGTACATCGTATTACAAGAGAAAGTATATTGGCCCCATATAGTCAATTGTATGAATTTTCACACGAATTCAATCAATTTGTATAGAAAAAAAAAACAATTGTTTATATAAGGAAATTGTTACTTCCTTTACTAAATTACTAGAGAATGATTATTATTAATTCTTGGACACAAAAGAAAATTAAATGTTCTTTAGCCCATTAATATAACCTCAAACTAAAAAGTTGTTTTTAACAACAAATAAAATTAATTTTATCAAATTTTGAAAGATTTAGTTGTAGAATTTTGAAAATAAATTATTTTCCCCAAAAATTTCATGTTAAATAATAATTATTTCACTTATTATATTTTTTGTTTAAAGTTGGTGAACAATTGTAATTTTTATTTAATAGCTCATTTTGCTCATTGAAAGATTTTCTATAATTCTGTTAGTTGGATTTTATTAACAATATTTTGTTTAAAATTTAATAAATAAGTACCTAAATTAAATTTTTTATATATTTTTTTTTAAAATCATTATTTATCAAAAACACAAAATCAAAAATGTAGACAATCTTTCAAAGAGAAAAAGGAGATAAAAATTACGATTGTTATATAACATAACTTTCAAGAAAAAAACAAAAAATGTTAAATATTTATTATTTGGCAATAAATTTTGACTCGAAATTTTTTTTTAAAACTGTAAAACTAAAATCTTTCAAAAATTGATGTAATAAATTTTAAATATATTTTTCGTTCTCTGAAAAATCATTTTTTAGTTTGAGGCCTCAGATCGACTTTAAGGTACAAAAAAAGGCGAAAAAGTCTATTTTTTTTTATTTTAACAAAATTTAATTGGTTAATCAATATTTTACTTTACTAATATTTTACTTTTTCATTTTATTAATTCTGTAAATGAAAATTATTCTATAATGAATATTATCAAAATTTATTTTCTAATATTTTAAAATCGAACTAATTATAAAATAAGTTTTCACAAATTTTATTTAAATAGAACAAATTTCCAGAAAAAATTCTTAAAGTTACATTTTTATGATTTTTTGAAGTCTGATTTAATAAATTTAATCGAATTTAAAATTTTATCATAGTTTTTAGTTTTGATGGTCAAAAAAATTTCAGGCAATAATTAATTAAGTTTTACAGATTATTAAATAAAAAATTTTTTTTTTAAATAATACTTTTGGAAGAGTTAAAGTTGAAATTTTTAGAAATAATTGAATTTCCAAAGATTTTGTTAATTTTCAGACAATAATTAAATTTTACAGAACTAAGAATAATTTATCAAATAATTTTAGATAAAATTTTTAAAAAGTAATTGAATTTTCAAAGTTTTACAATTTTGACTTTTGAAATTAATTGAACTTTAAGTCATTTTCAATTAAAATTTTTTTTGGTAATTTCTGTTTACTGAAAAATTAATTAGAAATTGTAGACAAAACTAAAATAATTCGAAGACTTTTGAAATTATTAAATTTCAAAAAATTTTAGATAGAAAATTTTAGAAATAATTAAATTTTAAAAGCTTTTAAATTGAAATTTTTGAAAATAATTGAATTTCAAAAGATTGTGTTAAATTTCAGATAATAATTATAATAAGAGAAATTTTTAGTGATTTCTGTTGATGAAGAATTTATTTGAAATCATATAAAAAAATTGAATTCCAAAAGTATTTAATTAAAAAATGCTTTTAGATAATTGAATTTTCCAAGAATATTATAAAAATCATGAAAAATTATTGAAATTTTTGCAAATAATTAAATTTCAAGTGATTTTGAATTAAAATTTTTTGATAATTTTATTTGATAAATTTTTTTTTTAAATTATAAATAATTATTAAATTTAATACAAATTTTTATTGAAAAATAGTTTAAGATAATTGAATTTGTGAAGAATTTCATTAAAATTATTAAAAATAATTAATTTAGTGACGAATTTTAGTTAAAAATTTGTTAAAGACGTATTTTGTTTAAAAATTTTGTTAAAAAAATGTTAAATAATTTTTTAAAAATCGAAAAAGTTGCATTTTATTAAAATAAGTCAAAAAAAAGTCGGAAAAAGTCGTATAATCCGAGGCCTGGGTTATGTTACATAGCTAAATACACTTAAAAAATTTTAATAATTTTGTTTTATTACATTCTAATTAATACTTTATTTGCTAAAAGAAAATTTCAATTATTTATATAATTTTTCTCTTATTTACAAATTCGCGTAGAATTAATTGATTCGGTAATAACTTTTTATTATAAATTTTTTTTCTAAAATGTAAATACATACATTGGTTTGCAAAATTCAACAAACAGAAAAGTAATAGATTGCATAAGTTTTATAAAGGGAAAGTAATATATATATAAAGGAGGATTTAATTTTTTTATTCAGATTAGGAGCCGTGCATGATGGTTCGCCACCACCAAGTTACCTTGGTGGACCTGGAGCAGAAAAATGCCGCTGGGAAGACGGTTACATCATGAGTGACCTCAGGCATACTGAAAAGGGATTTAAGTGGTCCCATTGCAGCGTATCGTCTTTCCATCATTTTTTGAAGTACGTATTTGTATAAAGTAGAAACTTTTATATATAAATATGCAATATATGTGTACAACAACAAAAAAAAGTTACCGTACACAACAATTTGTTTCTTGCTTATTTCGCGAAGCATATAGCAAGTATATGTTGCACAATTAGTGATTCTTTTATTTATTACACAATAATTCTACTTATTTTTTTTTTGTTCACGCGTTCATATTTGCAAATAATAATTGATAATACAAATATTATTGTTTACTTTTCATATATATAATGTTAATTTTTTTGACACTTAAAATCCTCATATTTAAAAACTGGTTAAAAATTACTTTGTTAAAATTTCTGATTAAATTCGGATGCATCACTTCTGATTATTCCGGAAATTGTAGGAAAACGATTTTCGAAAAGGATCCAGAATAGGTCAGAATAATAAAATTTACTTTTTAATTTCAAAAATAGGTTTTATAAACCAGCTATTAATATTTTTAAAAAATAAATTTTGTATTGAATTGTGTTAGTCCAGCACAAAAAAGGAACAATTAAAACAGTTACGAAAATTTAAATTTTTAAATAAATACATTTTAAAATTAAAAAATATTTTTTCCTCAGAAATATTTGAAAATTATTTTTTCAAAAAAACTTTTTTACCGAATTGTCTAGACCAAAACATAAAGAAACAATTTAAAAGACGAAAAATTAAATTTTTTTAAATTATTCAATTTTAAAATTAAAAAAGAAAAAATTATTGAAAAATATTCAAAAATTATTATTGTTTTTCTCAACAAAATTTTGTGCTTAATTGTGGTAGTCGAGTACAAAAAGATACATTTAAAACAATTACGAAAAATTTAATTTTCGAATATTTCAGGTTAAAAAAAGATGTACCTACCTATTTAGATTTTAAAATGAAATTAATTAAAAATATTTTTGAAGTTTTCAAAAATGTTACAATAGAATTTTTTTTCTTCTAAACAAATGCAATTTAGTACAAAATTAGTTTTTTTAAAAAAATAATTTTTAGATATTTTTCGATAACATTTTTTTTTTAATTTTAAAATTTAATAATTTTCAAAAAATGTTAATTTTTCGTAATTTTTTAAATTGTTTCTTTTTGTTCTCAATTAGACGATTTAGAACAAACTATTTGAAGTACAATATTTTTTGAATGTTTTTGGATTAAAAAAATATTTTTTTGAATTTTAAAATTGAATAATTTCCAAAAATTTTGAATTATTCGTAATTGTTTTAATTTTTTCTTTCACAGCAAATTAAAAGGCATTAATATAAGCTGCAACGCTTATTATTTTAATCCAATTTTGCTTATTTTAATACCAAAAAGGATTAAAATAAGCAAAATTGGATTAAAATAATAAGCGTTGCAGCTTATTTTAATCCCTTTTAATTTTCTGTGTTTTTATGATGGACTGGTACGCTGCCGTGCAAAGCTGAAAGACCGTAACTTTATTTTTGAATTAGGTTATGTTGACCATTACATTTTCACTTCTATAAAAATAATGAGATTAAAATTTCGATCAAATTTTGTTTTGTTAAGGTAGAAATAATTATTTCTACCTGAAATGGATGAAATTTTTCATAATTTCAATTTCTATATTCTTGCAAAAGGAAAAATTGTAATGGTCAACATAACCTATTGGAAAAATAAAGTTACGGTTTTTCAGTATTGCACGGCAGTACGATTCAGTTCAAAATTTGTTTTTGAAAAATAATAATTTTTGAATATAAATGTGGATTAAAAAATTGTTTTTTGAATTTAAATTATTTTGTATAATTTATTATTAAGGTCCATATGTGACTTGTAATTTTACATATAAAAATTCTTCGCAAGTTTTCTCGCAAAATATATTTGATAATTTCAGCTAAAATTTTGTAGAGAACTTAAACATAATATTAATATAAGAATTTGTTGTTATCGTGCCAGGGTATATTAATATTTCGTTATTATTAAATAATTGCATATTTGAAAAAATAACTAAAATCGTATTGCCGCCATATTAAATTTTTCTCAAATATGCAATTTTTTAAAAATAATTTTTTTTTATTATTAATACTTTGGCATATAATAGCGATGCTTTGTATTATTTTTAATGTTCTGAATAAAATTTTAGCTCAATCTATTAATTATTTTGCAAGAAAACTTTGAGGAGAATATTTATATGTGAAAGCACAACAATCACGCATGTCCTTAAAAATTCTGAAAATTGTAAGAATTTTTTTCTGTTCTGGTTTTGTAGAATTGTTTATTTTTAATTACACGTAAATGTCATTTTTGAACTTAAAATTGGTCATTTTAGTAATTTTAATCTTAATTAATATTTTTTCAAAAAAAAAATTTGCAGCATAAATTAGTCCGGTTAAAAATTATAGTTTTTTTTATAAAGTATTATAATTAAGGGATTTTTAAATGATGTTTTTTTTGCCTAAAGCAAATAATTCATTGATAAGATATATTTAGATGATACAGTACAAAAACATGAAAATTCTCTCTTTTTGGAGAATTGCCCATAATATATTAAAACAGAAAATTACAAGTAGCTTTTTTTGCGATCGTTTGTAAAAAATAAAAAAGACAATGTAACTTAATGAGAAATAAATTGTAACGTGTTTTGAATGATATTATTTTCTTTTTTTTTCCAGTGGAGATACAGCGACTTGCCTGTATAATGCGCCACACGAAGATGAAGCACTGCCAAGAGTATTGCCAGGAAAATTATTATCGCTTGATGCACAATGTCGAAAGGATCGTGGAACGAGCGCTTGCTTTGTAAGAAATTTTAATAATTCGTCCTTTTCACTTTCATTTCTTGACCCTGAGAGAGAAACTTGCTTTGAGAGTTCATTGCACAAAATTTTTTTTTTTCTTCCAATGAGAGGATAATAACTGTAATAAATGTCAAACGTCAGGCGCAAAAGTAATAATAAACAGGTCTATAAAAATGAGTACAATTTTTTTTTTCCAAACAATTTTGTCTTTTTCAAGAACACTCATCATCATTGAATCAAATTAATTTATATACAACTAAAATCAGTAACAGATTTCATTTGTAAATAATTTCTTGAAATTTCACTGTTTTTTTTTAGTGATTAGTAATAATTAAAAATTAAAATAGAAAACAGTAATTATTATTTCTTATTTTAGAAAGACGATCGTGTTTGTGCTCAGCTATTTTGCTTCGACGCTGGCTCAGGTTACTGTGTGGCTTATAGACCAGCAGCTGAAGGTTCTCCTTGTGGCGATGGTCAGGTTAGTTGACTAATATAAAAAATATAGTGAAAACAATTTATTTATATAAGTAATAGAAAATAATATTTTAGTTTTTTTTTTTAATAAATTTTACTTGAATTTCCAGTATTGCTTAAATGGAAAGTGCGTAGCGGAGCACGAGAACATCATTCCAGATTATACTCAAAATGTTCCCACCTACATAAGGCGAGATTATAATTCTGTCACACAAAGTCGGCCATATTACTCGCAATACGGAAATACGACGGAATACAGGTAGATTATTTATTTTATTCATAATAAGTCTTTCAATGAAAGCCATGTGTCAGAGGATTCAAAATTTGTCTCGGGCACTAAATTAATTGCTTACATATATGATATTTGACAATTTTATTTCGTTTATTTAAATAATAATTAAATTTCGAATATTTTTAAAAATATAAGATGAATTTTTTTTCTTTTATTACTAATTGAGACTAGCTTTCATGATTTTTTTACGAGATACGAATTTTTCAAAATTTCATTTTTATTTTTGAACTTTCTTAAAAATGCATCAATTTTAAGTTTTTTTTTTAAATTTGTGTTTTTAAATGTACTTTAAAAAAAATAACATTTTTTTCAAACGATATTTTAAGGGGACGCATAATTATTGTTCAAATTAGAATTGACGAAATTTCTGTGGAGTTGAATTAAAAATTATCAAATTTATATTTAACAGAATCTTATAAAGTAGATTTTATAATGAGCCCAGTTTTAATATCAAAGAATTTCTATTTAATAAAATTCTGATTTTATAGAATTTATATTTAACTGAACTTCAGACCTCGGATCGACTTCCAAAAAAAGTCGAAAAAGTCGATTTTTTTTATTTTAACAAAATTTAATTGGTTAATAAATATTTTACTTTAGGTAAATAACTAATGTTATTAGATATTAAATTCATTTTATTAATTCTGTAATGAGAATAATTCTATAATGAATATTATCAAGAAAATTTATTTCGAATATTTCAGAATCGAACTAATTGTAAGACAAATTTTCAAAATTTCATTTAAGTAGGACAAATTTTTTAAAAAAAAATCTTAAATTTCCATTTCTATAATTTTTTCAAGTCTGATTTAAGCAATATAGTCGAATTAAAAATTTTGTTATAGTTTTTAGTTTTGATGGTCAAAAAAAAAAATTTCAGGCAATACTTAATTAAGTTTTACAGATTTTTAAATAAAAATTTTTTTTAAATAATAATTTTGGAAGAGTTAAAGATGAAATTTTTAGAAATAATTGAATTTCAAAAGATTTTTTTTAATTTTCAAACAATAATTAAATTTTACAAGAACTAAAAATAATTTATCAAATAATTTTTGATAACATTTTTTAAAAGTAATTATTGAATTTTCAAAGATTTACAATTCAAATTTTTGAAATTAATTGAACTTCAAGTGATTTTTCATTTCAAAATTTTTGTTGATTTAAAATAATTAATTTAGTGAAGAATTTTAGTTAAAAATTTGTTAAATTATTGAAATAAAGAAGATCTGAAGAAGATTTGCATTCTAAACTAAAAAAACGTATTTCGTTTAAAAATTTTGTAAAAAAAAATGTGAAACAAGTCGAAAAATTCGCATTTTATTAAAATAAGTCGAAAAAAGTCGTTTCTTTGAAAAAAAGTACGAAAGAATCGTATAATCTGAGGCCTGGAACTTTTATAAAGTAGATTTTCTAATAATATCGAATTTTCAAGTAGTAAAATTTCCTTTTAAATGAGCCGAAAGTTCTCAACGTTCATATGAACTTTTTTTTTCAATCTATTAATTTTTAAAAATTATGATGACTATATAAAATAAAACAGTAAATTAAACAATTATTAAATTAATAACTTTTTTTTAGATATTTTAAACAATATTTTGTAATAAAATTCGTACTTAAAGAAGTAGCAAAACAAATTTAGTTCATATGAACGTTCAAAACTTTTGGCTCATCCTTTTAACAGAAATTATATGTAGTAAAATTTTCATAAAAAAAGGATGAAATTGATGCATTTTTAATGAGTAAGTTATGAGCATTCAAAAATAAAATTTTGAAAAATTCGTATCTCGTAAACGGTTTGCTAAAAAAATGGAAAAAAAAATCATGAAAGCTAGTCTCAATTAGTTAATTAATAAAAGAAAAAAAGATTCAAAAAAATCGGACATATAAAATGCAGTCTGATTCATATTAAACAAGAAAATATTTGAATACTTACTGGCTTTTTGAAATAATATTTTACACTTTTCAAAAAATATCTTACTTAATTTAAAAAAAATCACAGAAAATTAAAAGGTATTAAAATAAGCTGCAACCCTTATTATTTTAATCAAATTTTGCTTATTTCAATCCATTTTGGTATTAAAATAAGCAAAATTGGATTAAAATAAGAAGCGTTGCAGCTTATTTTAATAACTTTTAATTTTCTGTGATGGTTTTCATAACGTTTTTCGAAATATAACTACTATTTCATGAGAAATATTTGGCAAATTTTTTTTTTTTTTTGATAGTAATACATACATATTTTACAGATAAAAAAAAATTTAAGGAAGTTATACTTATTAACTGACAATAACGTGAATATTATAACTAATAAATAATGGAATATTTCTCCCCACCTACGCAGGTATCCATGGGTTACAACTCGCAGCAACTTCGACACTAGATATAAATACTCAACACCCTCTACACCTAGTAGAACAGTTAGTCCCTATAAAGTTTTTTCACAATATACAACACCTGTTTATAATAATATTAAAAAAACACCAAGCACAACTTGGAAAAAGCCACAGGTTAAAACAACAAGATATGTTAACGATAAATATTATAATAGTCCCTCAATAGCAACAACCACGGAAAAAGCTTATGTTATTCATAATTATGTGAAAACATATTATCGCTCGACTAATAATCCAAAAGCAAATTATCCCCAAAGTAAAGTAACTTATCAAAAAACTTATCCCTACAAATATAAAAGTTCAGCCAGCTCGATGTCATATTCGTCAACGGCCGATGGAAATGAAACAGATGATGAAGGTCATGGTAAGATAATGTTGTTGACTGAACGTAACCTTTTTCTCTGTTCAAGTTCATTTCTGCAGTCTTTTTATTTCATATTATTACGCATGTGGTTTTCTCATTTCATTGCCTATATTTATACGACTATTAATATAGTCATTGTCCCATATACCTACTGGAATGGACTTTTATTCGACGTTTGATTTTTCTATTTTCTTGAATTTTACAGGGTAGCCACAAGTCAGGAAAAATTTTTCTTTTGTCAGGGAATTGTTAAGGAAAAAAACATTTTTCTCAGTGAAATTTATGAAGAGACGAATAAATGAATTCTAAAATTAATTTTTCATAACGCGGTGCAAAAAAGAGGCACTTTTTTAGCACGCCGTGCTAAAAAGTGCGTTTTTTTGCACCTTGTCATGAAAAGTATCGTTCGTAACTTGTGTTAATATTTGCAGATTTTTGAAAAAGTGTTTTTTTTGGTACAAGCTGTAGGCAAAGCTTCGCTTCGCCTACAGCTCGTCCCAAAAAAAACACTTTTTCAAAAATCTGCAAATATTCACACTCGTTACGAAATATACTATTTTAGAGTTTTTATTTTATAGACTTTTTATTTCATTGAATTTAAGAGAATTATTATTATTTGCTCAAATTTTCATTAGACAGAATAGTAATTAAAATGAATTTTCATTTTACAAAAAAATAATATTAGAAATAATTCTTCTCTATTCGAATTTTAATTTTGTTCGAATTTACATTTTTACAGAATTTTTAAAACGGCGAATTTTTATTGTACAGAACTTTCATTTATCCGAATAATATCAGACAGAAAAATACGCTAATTTAAAAATTAACAAAGTTATAAACAAAATTATGATTGGTTACTTTTAAAATTAGAGCCTAAATTTTTCTGTCAGATATAATATTCGATCAAATGACAGTTCTCTAAATTAAAAATTTTGCATTTTAAAAATTTTGTAAAATGTAAATTTAAAAATGTGAAAAATTAAAAATTTTTTAAGTTTAAAATTATCTACATATTTTAATTGATTAAAAAATTTCAAGTTATAGGGAATTTTAAATTATCCAAATTTTAATTGACTTTTTCAATTTATCCGAATTTTATTTTTTATCTAAATTTTTTAATTGGTTTAAATTTCCAATTATCCGAATTTCGATTTATTTACATTTTAATTTATGTTTAAAATTACCAAAATTTTAATTTGTCAAGATGTTAATTGATTTTTGTCTCAAATTTTTTTAAATTTTAATTGATTTAAATTTCAATTTATCTGAATTTTCAATTTATTCAAATTTTAATTGATTTAATTTTCAAATCATCCGAATTTTAATTGATTTATGTTTCATTTATCATACAAATTTTTAAAATTGTTCAAATTTTAATTGTTTTAAGTTTAAAATTATAAAAATTTGAATTGATTTAAATATTTTAAATTATTCGAATTTTAATTTATTTAAATTTCAATTGATTTATGTTTCAAATTATTCAAAATTAAATTTACTCAAATTTTAAATTTATTAATGCTTTAATTATTAATGAAAAATTTTAATTAATTAAAATTTGAAAATATTGAAATTAGTTATTTTCTCACTTATTTTTGATCATCTTTTTACTTATTTTCAAGAAAAAAATAGTAATTATTAAATTATTATTATTAATTTATAAATTAATAATAAAAAAAAAGTTGTCAGTAGAAATTTTATTGTCAGGGTAATTAAAAAAAATGTATTCTTGTGGCAACCCTTCTTTAAAAAATGGAGACAGTTGTTGGACTCTTTATAAAATTTACTTCTTCGATTTTTAAATTTTCATTTTGTATATATGCGAGAAAAAACTTTATTCGCAACATAGATCTTCATCTTTTGTCACTACATTTCGTAGTGTTAACTGAAACATATACTGATGTGGTTAAATATCTATATATCTATATTAAAATTAGAGAATATAATCATTTTTTCATATCAAATAAGGTTACTTTGACTATCTACACATATCAATATAACAGAACACACTTATACCTCATAACACTTTCGTCTACTATATTATTTTCCTTAATTTTGACTTTTCTCACCTCTACACTGATAATATAAAATAATCTTCTTTGTTTCAGCCAGCTCACTTCCAGACAGTGATGGCGATTATTATTTTAATTTCACGCATTTTTTCCATGTACTTACATTTAAGACTTGTCTTTCTATGTCAGGCAGAAAAGGGTGTGACAAAAAAAAAGAAAAAATAAACAGAAAATATATTTGTTTTTTTATTAGTTTTTTTCTTTTCTAGAACGTTTAAAATTAATTTTTCAAAAAAAAAATATTTTTTTAATGTTTACATTTTTGTTAAAAAACAAAGAAAAATATTTTTTTTACTTTTAAAAATTATTATATTTTATGTATTTAAAGAAAAATTCAATTCGCAGAAGGTTTACAAAAAAATAATAGCAAAATTTAAGTTAATTTTGTTCGATGTATTTACATTAAAAATTTTCCCATTGGTTTTTTTTTTGTGAATTTATTATTACACGCTGTTTCAATTATTATTTTCTTAATTAATTTTCCCTTCTAAATAAAAATCTTTGCTGAAAATTCTATTATCACACTTTCAATCTATTCTTTTCAAAATTTCAATTATATATACCTATTATTAATATTTAAGACTTTTTAAATGAAACTTTTAATGTTCACATACTTTTTTTTGCATACACGCTTTTATCCATATTTAAATAATTCTCCCTATGTATAGATTATATTTATTATTATGTAAATAATACATTATTATAAAATATTATTTATATAATAATAAAAATAAATAATAAAACAATAAAAGTAAATAATATAAATATATATTGAATAAAACTTTGCAGATTTTTACAACACAGTAAATATAATCGACACGAATTATTTTTCCTGATTCAAAAATATTTAAATTTAGCGCCATTATTTATATTTTTGTGTTATATGGTTGGTACATCTACTTGTCCCTAGATTCCTAACCTAAATATTTTTTTGTCGTAAAATTTCAAATGAATTAGGTATCTAAAATTATTTCGATTATTACTTTTTTTCAAAGTACAATAGAAGCTGGAGGTTTTCAGTAGCTTTATATTTAATAAAAATCTATTAGATGACAATTGTTTCAAAGTTAAAAAAAAAAAAATTGAAAAAACAGTATTGTAATATAAATAAAAAAATTGCAACAAAATATTGTAGAAATAATTTTTTTTAATGTAAAAAATAAAAATATATACGACAGTTGTCATTACATAATTTAAAATTACTAGAAAAACAAAAAACAAAAAAAAAAGAAATAGCGGTCTGACAGACCGCGAAAAGCACTAAGCGGGAGTTTTTTTTCCACGTGCAGTTTAAAGGTTTAAAAATCGACAAAAATTAGAATAAATTAAAAATTTTTTTTTTTATGTCTAGAAAGAATAAAGTTTAAAGAGAAACTTATTTGTATTACAAACGTAACGCATATAGAAATAAAATAAGTCATCAAATTGTTTATTTTGCATGAAACAATAAAATTGGAAAAAAATAATCCATCACTCAAAAATTTTAAACCCCCATGTGTCGATTAAATTTTTGATTGTTACAAATCTGCATATTGCTTTATCGAAATCAACGAATTATTTTGAATTGTTTTATTTGAAATGTAATTGCAAAATTAAAAAAAAAATAAAAATAAAATGAAGACTATAGACTAATTCTTCATATAGAATTTCTTTTTTAAAAATTTTTAAAAATTAATTTGCTTATTTTAGAAACAGAGGCCGATGAATGCAAGGACGTGGCGATTGATTGCGCAGGGCTGATCAGCAGGATGGGAACATGGCTGTGCCATCTGCAATCAGTGAAAAGCCGTTGTTGCGCGTCCCTCAAGGGAATCTGCAATAGTTAGAGAGAAAGCAAGAGAAAGAGGAACGAAAAAAAAAAAAAGAACAGAGAAGCTGGTGCTCACTATAAGGGCGCTAAACCTGTGCAAATGTCGATGTTGTATAAAATGCAAATAACTGTCGATTATAATTATTCGACAAGAACTTTATTTTCTTTTGTGCACTAATAGTGAAAAAGAATGAAAGTTTTCATTTTTTTTTTTTTTTTTTTTTTTTTTAAACAAACAAAAAAAAAGTGCAAGGAACAATTTGAATACCTCGCAACAATTGTCTTTATCATCCTTTTCCCCTCCCCTAAAAAAAAGTCCTCTCTCACATCATAAAAAAAAAATATTCGGAAACAATCCGAATTGGGCTAAAAAAAAAAGTTCTTAATTCCTATTAAATAAGGAAAATTGGAAATTTAAAGCCTGAAACAAAAAAAATCAGAAATAGTTCTGATAAAATTGTGAAAATGATCCTGAAATGAAGTTCAAACGTAAGCTGTGTGTACAAGTGATGTTTGTTTTATTTTAATTTTTTTTTTTTCATTTTCTATCTCGTCCTGATGTTAGAATGTATGTAGAGTTAATGAAGATTCTTATTTTGTTTTTTTAAAAAATAAATTAAAGAATCTATTAAATTGACTTTTGTCTGAAAACACGAGTCGTCTTTCATTTTCATATTTTGTTTTCTTTTTTCTTCTTTTAATATCTTGTGTATTCTAATCTTTTTTTTTTTTTTTTTTCTTTCGTTTAACTTAATTATTTTTTTTTTCTTTTTTATTTAAGTTCTCGATTGACGACATGGCGCACGAACGTTTGTTCATTAGCCCTGACTTATATAATTGTGTGACATTGGCGAAACCAACAATTTAATGAAGCGTTATTCAAGCAACGTGTTTTAATGACGAAAATATTTTCAAAAGACACTATTTTGTAGCGTAACAAATAAATAGTAGTGATTAATTATAAAAAAAAAAGTGTGTTATTTTTAATTCACCAGTTTTTCTATTTCAATTTTAGTGTTTATTTTAAAATATTTAGAATATTTTCTATTTAAATTAAAAATTACTTATAAAAAATTTTTTTTGAGGAAACTAAAACTTTTTACCTGAAGTTTTTTTTTAGAGTCACTGATTACGAATTTAATATTAATTTGTAATCAATAACTCTAAAAAGTTCCGAATAATAAATTTCAAACGAATTTGATGAATTTAGAAAAAATACTGCATATATTGGATCCAGCGTTTTGAATTTTCAAAATTTATTTCCAGATTGGTAATTAGCGACCCCTGAAAACCCCCGAGTAATAAATTTCAAGCGAATTAGAACAATTTTTAAAAAATCTTCCGTCATATTGAATCCACCATTTTGAATTTTAAAATACTGACATCCGATGAGCCAAAAGTTTTGAACATTGAAATAAACAAAATATTTTTTTCAATCTCTATAAATTATTAAAAATTATGATAGCCATGTAAAATAAAACAATAAATTAAACAATTATTAAATTATAATAACTCCTTTTTAGATATTTAAAAACCATATTTTGTAATAAAATTCGTATTTAAAGAAGTTGCAAAAAAAATTTCGTTTATTTGAAAGTTCAAAATTTTTGGCTCATGACATCCGATGACTATAATTAGCGTACTTTTTTCTAAATGAAAATAAATTTTTTAGATGTTGACCGTATAACATAACCTCAAATTAAAAAAACGGTTTTTATAACGCGATCAAAAATATTAGAAAAATTAATTCCAATCAATTTTGGAAAATCTACACTCAGAAAAAAGATATGTTTGAACCAAATGTACCATTTTTTTATATTTACCCAATTTTTTGGTTAGTTCAAACAAAATTTGTTTAATTCAAATAAATATTTATTTGATCTAAATAACTGTTTGGTTTATTTTAATAAATTTTTTGTACAAAGAAAAAATTTGATTGAGCTAAATAAACGTTTGGTTAACTGTATATCAATGCATTTATTTTGTTGATTTAACCAAAATTTGGTTGCTTCAAACGAATTTTTTTCTGAGTGTAGTAAAACACATTTTGGAAAAATTCCAATTTTTATAAACAATAGCTCATTTTACTTATTAAAAATTTTAATAATATTTTTATCAAAAATTATAAAAAATAATAATAAATGATAATAAAAATTAGAAAACAATTAAATTAAATTGTTTTTATTAAATAATTTGTTAACATCATACACCGAGAAAAAAGATTTCTTTGATTCAAAGAAAATTTATTTGTTTAAAACAAATTATCTTTGATTCAAAAAAATTATCTTTGTTTTAAAGAAATTTATTATTTAATTCAAATAAATGTTTCTTTGATCAATGTTAGTATTTATTTGATTTAATGCACAAATTTCTTTCATTCAAAGAAAATTTTTATTTTGAATCAAAGAAAACAAGTCAAAGAAACTGGTTTCTTTAAATCAAAGAAATCTTTTCTCTGGGTGTAGAAAAAATTACGATTGCAGAGTATGTTTCAATGAATAAAATAATAATTTAAATATTAATTGAATAGAATTTCCGATTTTTGTCCTAAAAAAAAACAAAAATGTTAAAAACATACAGGTTAGAAATCATTTTTTTTATTTGAGGTTATGTTATGATCACCATAAAATTTTTCTAATTTTTTTGAAGTTACGTTCATTATACAAAAGTCAACAGGTGATTAAATATATGAATAATTATTATTGAAACTTTATCTTGTTTACAATAAAACAATTTAATTGCGATTTAAAAAAATGTGTTTTAAAAAACACGTTCTACGGAATTTAACTTTTATCCTTGTATAAATTTATCAGATATTCTTATCCTTGATAGTTCAATGTCTTCGTATTACATATGACCTTTGATTTGTTTAAACAAGTGTTTTTTTTGTTGTAATTTTTGTCAGTTTTGAAATACGTCAATAATTAAAAAAAAAAAAACAAAAATTAAAATTTCACATTATCATTTGAAGTACATATATATATTAACTGTTTGTTTGCTGTACATTAAATATTTAAAAAACTATTTACTTATGTTTAAAGTAAATTTATCGTACATAGATATAGGTGCAAAACTTTTTGACAACAGCTCACATAAATTCATTTTTTTTCAACTCAAATAGTTGTTGTTATTTTTCTTTGCTTATAAAAAAATTTATTATTTTTTATAGTAATATTGATAGGAGATAATGATTCGTTTCGCGATTATTATGTTAATTATGTGCGCGATAAATGTGCAATGTCAACAGGTGAGATTTAAAAAAAATACAGTACAAAATTAATTTTCTTCACAAATCAGAAAAATTAAATTACAAAATTTATTATAAATAAATTATATTATAAATAAATATTATAAATAAATAAAAATAAAATTTACATTATAAACTTAATAATAATTATTTCAATTTAAATAATTAAATGAGTTTCATTAATAAAAATAATTCTTATTTAAATTAGAATCCGGATTTTTTCACTGAAGAAGAAAAAATGTTGCTATTTCAATCAAATTCAGGTAAATAAAAAAAAATTATATTTTTAGGACTTCATTTTAAAAGAAATATAATATTTCAGTTCCAAAATATGAGATCGTTCATATCAAGCATAATATTAAGAAAAGATGTTTATATAAAAATTATGCTCAAGTTTTTCTAAAAACTTTTAATAGAAGTTTAACGTTATATTTAAAACCTGAAAACAGTGTTTTACTTGGTAAAAAGACAAAAGTTTGGAGTGCTGAACCAAATTTTCTTTCACCACAGGGTGTTAATTATAAAGTTATTTCGGATGTAAGTATATTTTTAATTATTATCCTTATGTACATATATAAAGTGGCTCAAAAGAATATTCAAAAATTTAGATTTTTCTCAAACATACACTACCGGTAAAAAAAAATGTCTTTAAAAGTTTTTATCTCTGTTCAAAATCATCGTAGAAAGTTTTTTAAATAATTTTTGGAAAGATTATAAAATTTACCGTAAAATAATCATATAGTATAGGTATCATATACTAACTGAAAATGCCGATTTTGAGAAAACTAAATAAAATGCTAGTAAAATGAGAAATTTTTTTTTAATCTATAGTCTATCTATTTTAAAAGTTAATGTAGTTTTTAAATCCATTATTATTTTTTGATAATTTTTAACAGTTTTTTTTGTAAAAAATGATTTTGTGCAGCGAGGCAACACGGCACGTTGAACTCCGCGCTGGGGAGAGTTGTGCCGACGCCGGGGTCGGTTGTGCCTCACAGATTTTTTAGTTGTTTCAGTTGAAGCAAATGATTTTACGTGTAAGAAATAAAATAATTATTGCCAATATATGATTTACTATTATTTATTAATCATTTGTTATAAACTTTTAAAGGTTTTTAGGAACAATCTTAAGATTTATAGATTTTAGTAAGTACAAATAAACATAATTTGACTTATATTCTGTAAATGCATAGTTAGTCAGTCACTTAAAATATAATTTTCGTAATAAGTATTTTTATTATAAACATTCAAAAGATTTTTCCAATAATCGTAACATTTATAGATTTTTGTAAATAAATAAACATTTCTGAATTAAATTTTACAATTAAATAATTAGTCAGTCTTTTAAAATATTTTTTGAAATAATTATTTGTATCGTTAATTAATTGTAAAAACTCTACTTTCTGATTAATAAATAATTTTGAATACATGAATACTTATTCCGAATGCGATTTATTGAAATTACAATTGACACACATATATAACTGACCTTTTTTTTACCCTTCACACATTTTAAATGTGCCAAGTTTTTGCAAACTATGCATTGAATCAATTTTTCTCTTGATTTCGGGTTGGAATAACTATTCGAACAAACGAGGCAATAGTAGATTATGGTTATGTAGCGATTGACAGCGGCACAACCAGCCCCAAGCGAAAAGCACAATTAACATCGTTGCGTCGATACTCACTTTTATCATATATTAAAAAAGTAGATAAATAAAATGTTAAGATCAATACACCATTGAATCCCTCGATAAATTTGGATCATTTAAAAAAAATACGTATCGATATCTTTAAAAATGCAAAAAATAGACCAAAAAGTGTAAACATGAAAACTTGCACGTAAGTGACGCCAAAGCACCAAATTACTAACAGTTAATTATTCCGTGAAGCAAACAAAATCAAAATAGTTGCCAAAGATGCGCATAAGTAAAAGAATACTTCTCTCACTTCCACTTTTCAAAAAGAAAAATTTGTTTTTGAGATATTCTTATCGGCACAACTTACCCCCGGTACTTTCAGCCCCGGTCTCCCCTAGGCTAAGAGGCTAGTGGCGATAAATGGGCCACCAACGTTGGTGTCAAAATTAGTACATTTTACTTTTTAAACATTTTAAAATTATTTTATTTTAAATATTTCTCGAAACGCTGAAACTTTTTCAAAATCGGGCAAAATACCAAGGATCCTTATCTTATAAATTTCTTAAATCCGAAAGATTGTACAAATCTATACAAAAACGCGATTGTAAATAATGAAAAGTAGGAAAATAATATAAAGATAGCTTTATTACGTCCTGCAGCCGTTAGGTGGCAGAAGTATGCAGGGAGCATAATGTCGCAGCTGATCACATTATATTACATTCCTACTTTTCATTTTACAATCATCGCGTTTTTGTATAGATTTGCACAATCTTTCGGATTTGAGAAATTTCTAAGATAAGGATCGTTGGTATTGTTAAAGTGCGTTCATACATCTTCTTTTATATCAACTATGGCGTGTAAATGATCTAACCTAATTTCTATATTCCTTGTTCTTGATCATTAAAAAATGGCGTCAAGTGCACTGTATTTTTGTACACGTTTTCTCTTTTAATAAACTGTTCTATATAAATAAATGATAAAAGTCAAAGTTAAAGTTGATTTATTTCATCCATAAATAACAGGTATTTTGGCCGATTTTGAAAAAAGTGTCCGTGTTTCGAGAAAAAAGTATTTTAAAATCAATGTTTATCATTTTCACGTTCAGTGCTGTCTTTATAGGGCGACAATTAAATGGTTAAGAATTTCAGAGACCGTTCGACACTCTTTATTAGGAAACTTTAAATATAATTAGAAATGATTGGGAAATAAATTAATCATTAATAACTATTGACACAGACATTGGTGCACTATTTAGCGCCACTAACCTATTTCGTTCCTGTCAGTCAGCTGCGAGTCAAGCGATCACCCAGATAGCACGTAATCTTGCAGCAACCTTGCGGCAAACTTGCCGCGCAATATTGCCAACCTTGCGCGGCAATATTGCCACAAGGTTGCTGCAAGCTTAAAATGTCCCACCTGACACAAGCTTGCATGGTAAGCTTGCGGCAAGATAGTCGTGCAAGGTTACTACAAGATTGTTCAATAAGTTTATCGCAATATTGCTTGGTAAGCTTGTGGCAAGGTTGCTTGGCAATTTTATGGCAAGGTTGCTTGGCAATTTTATGGCAAGCTTGGAGCAAGCTTGCGGAATTTAAAAAAAAAAAATTTTTTTGGAGGGAAGAAATTTATTTCTGTATATGCATTGAGCACCAGTTTCTGGGAGGTCAAAAAAATTTATTGCGCAGCCGTAAGTGCTTGTGATTGCAAGTGCGCATAGTGCTCATTTTCGTAAACCTAAAAAAATTTTTTGTTAATATTCCGCAAGCTTGCGCCAAGCTTGCCATAAGATTGCCAAGCAACCTTGCCACAAGCTTACCGAGCAATATTGCGATAATCTTATTGAACAATCTTGCAGTAACCTTGCACGGCAATTTTGCCGCAAGCTTACCATGCAAGCTTGGGTCAGGTGGGACATTTTAAGCTTGCAGCAACCTTGCGGCAATATTGCCGTGCAAGGTTGGAAATATTGCGCGGCAAGCTTTGCGCAAGGTTGCTGCAAGATTACGTGCTATCTGGGCAGTGGAGTCGCTGCATTAAAAATCGTCCGTCATTACTTGATATTTAGTCAATATTTAAAAGTATTCTTGTGCTTAATTGAAAGCTAAAATTTCAAGCTTTTATTTAGCTTAATTTCAATTTTGTTTATTTACTTGTTTAGAAAATGCAGCCTGTCAAATTCAGATAATTAAAATTCAGTAAAATTGAAAATTACACTCCGTTTTTATTTCTCAAAAAAAAAAATTGAATAATTTTACGGCAAATTGAATTATCTTTCCAAAAATCGTTCAAAAAATTTCTACGATAATTTTGAACAAAGTTAACAAATTTTCAAGATGGTTGCGTTTTTAATAGTATTTTTGTAAGTGATATGTGCCTGAAGTTCTGAACGTTCAAATGAACAAAATCATTTTTTTGGTCTATAATTTTTTTTTAAATTACTACAGCAATGAAAAATAAAAAAGTACATTAAACACTTAATAAATTTTTAAATTATTTTTGTATACAGAAATCAATATTTTATAGTTAAATTTGAAGTTAAAGAAGTAGTAAACAAATTTTTCGTTCATTTATATAGAATTTCAGACACATTAAGTGGTTGCACAATTTTCACAGGTAAGTTTCAAAATTTTTTTTTATAGGATATGTTTAAAAAAATTTTTTTTTTTTTGCACGGATAGTTTTCAGAAATTTTGAGAAGCAATTTTTAGGAAAATCAAATTTTTAAGTTTTCTTAAAAATAATTTTATCAATTTTTTGTAATATTAATAGTACATTGTGTGGCAAGGGCGAAAAGTAGTTAATTCCTGACCGAGTGTGAATTTTGCCGCACGAGCGAAGCAAGGACGGCAATCGCCCGAGGTAAGGAATTGACCTTTCCGCCCGTGTTGCACACGATGTTTTTTGTCCAATTACACGATAAACAAAACGCCTAAGGAAGTAAACTAGAGTAAAATCAAAGACCAAATATTAAATGTTTAAGATACTGGATATATTTTTATAACGTTTGAGGGAAATTTATAGTATTATATTTTATAACATTATTTAAAAATATTAAAAATTTGGTGAACTAATTATTTAAAAATACTCAACTTGAAAAATGTGTCTTAAATAACCCGCAGAAAATTACTTTTCTAGAGTAGTGGACGGAAAAAAATTTTGCCGCCCGGTGACTTCATTGAGCGGGAGGCAAAATATTTTTCCACCCGCTGACGTCACTGAGCGGGCGGCAAAAATTTTTTCCGTTCGTTATCGGTGGTTGGGCGGCAAAAGCCTACTTTCCGCCGGCTGTACCTGCACGGAAAGTCGCGTTTATCGTGCATGTAGAACAAAAAATAATTAAATCACAAGATAAAAAAATATACATTTCTTCTTTCTTTTTTTTTAAGAATTTAAATTTAAATTTACAGAAGGTTTTTTAATTTATAGTTTACGAATATTAAATTTAAAACTTTGCATGATGTACGAAATAAGGCATCTGTATCAATGGAGGAAGACGATAATGGAAATATAAATTTGGTAAATACAATATCAAATAAAAATTAGCATAAAATTAAATTACTAATTAAACATTTAAATTAAAAAAAAAATAAATTATACACATAAATGAATAATTTGAGAACTAAACATTTTTTTTTAAAGTTTGGTCACATCGGCGACGATTTAGTGATAAAACCCCTTCCACAAAGAATGCTCGACAATCATAATGCGAGAAATAGACGAATAAGAGATTCTTTTTACTATAATTATTCTCAAGTATGTAGAACATATATTAAAAATTTGTATTTTAATAATTACGTATGCAAAAAATTGATCTTTTAAAAAAAAAAAATTCTTTCGTTTTAGAATAATTTTTGGAAAATACCATGGAGCCAAACAACTCCTCACATTGTTTACAAATTGCCTCCCGTGAAATATAATAAAGGTATACGTATAAATAAAAAAAAATTAAAACTCCACACTTATTACAAAATTTTCACAATAAGTATTTATTTTAGAAAAAATTAAAAATAAACTTATTTTCCAGTTAAATGGCCGAAGAAATTGCAAAAAGTTTATCAAGAATATAATAAAAATAAATCATCAAATTCCAAAGTTGATATTGTTTATCCAGAGATTTTGCTATTCGTAGATAATTCATTATTCAAGTAAGTCATTATTTAAAGAGGAAAAAAATTTAGCGACGCCAATTTTTTTGACATAACACACAATACCTCGAAATAAGACATTGTCAGGTCAAAAAAAATTTAATTTATTATTTTTAAGTTATTATATTTTTTCCTAGTGTAATATTTATTAATTTAATATATTTAATTATTTTATAATAATTAATAATATTATATATTAGACATTGTTTTTCAAATTTCAATTATTAGGTATTGGAAAATTAATTGAAACTTTATGATAAAAGAAATTAATAAAAATACTATTATAATAATTAAAAACATAATTAATAATTTATTTATAGTAAACTTGGTCGAAATGTGGAGGATGTTAAGAAATACATTGCAACCTATTGGAATGCAGTTGATTTAAGATTTAGACAATTAGAAGATCCAATGGTCCGATTAAATATTGCTGGAATTATTTTATCGACGGTAATTTTTAAAATTGTTTTAGATATAAAATTAAATAATATAGGTAGGTAAACCTCCAAGTACCATTTTCACCAAACAATTTTTTTCACGGCAGAATTAAAATTTAATTTACTTCTAAAGTACCACATTCAAAAATTTAAAATTGTTAAAATAGCACTAAAAATTTTTTTTCGAAAAACTACTTTTAACTTAAAAAATCATCCCCTTTAAATTTGAAATTAATGTTTTAAAAAGATCTTGTAGGGTCAACTGGGGTAAATCCGAACGCTTTTAGTAAGTTTCAACAATAACATAAGTTTTTTCTTTAAAAAAAAAATACTTCCGGTATTCTGGTGCATGAAGTTGTTACTTTACTTCCATAGAACAATTTTATGGGGTAGAAAAATTTTTTGATAAATTACAATCGCAGGAAACTTAGCGTTCGTATTTACCTCGATACTTTGCAACTTTCCTTAAATATGGGGGTAAATACGAACGCCACTGTATTTCAGAAAAATCTTAGGGAAAATAAATTTAAAGTATTGCAATTGTTAAACTTATATAAAAACTCAAAAAAAAATACGATAATAAACCTATTATGTAATAATGCATCATATATAAATACAAAAATCAAACAGGTTAAAAATTAAAATGCATTACACAATTAAAACCTTCAATAACTTTATCAAATCATAACGGATTTTTGCAAAACTTGGTAAAGAAAGTATTTTGGAGTGATTGAATGTAAATACAAAAATAAAAGTCAAATTTTTTAAATTCAAAATGGCGTACTTTCCTAAAACTTATTTTTAAAAATGATCAAATTTGCTAACCCTGAAACCCCCCGAGTAACAATTTTCGAGCGAATCCAATGAATTTTTTAATTCTCGTCCGCCATTTTGAATTTTGAAAAACTGACTTCAAATTGGTAATTAGCGACCCCAAAAACCGTAGAATACCAAATTTTATTAAGATCCTGAAAAACTTTTTTCAACAAACCATTTGGCAAAAAAATTGAAACACTCCTTCGAGAGAACAGAGATTAAGTTTCTGCTTATTAATTACTAACGAGGATACGTATAGAAAGAAAAACTTTTTTCTATGTACTTTTATAATGTTAAAATAATAGTGTAATCAAATAAAAACAATTTTGTGTGGCTTTGATGTAAAAAAAAATTATTAAAAATACCGTTCGGATTTACCCCAGTTTTCCAATTTTCTTGGGTAAATACGAACGGTCTGATATTATTAATAAAATTTTACAGAAGGCAAAAATCAAATATAGTTTCTGTTGTAGTATTCATAACAAACAATTATAAATAATAAAATGAATTTTTAGCTTCTTTTTCTTCAAATACGAGACAAAATACTGAAAGAGTGTCATCTTTGATTTTCAATCTTTTTTGCAATACTTGTTATCTTTGTTTATGCTGTTGCTAATTAACAAACAAAAAATGGGATAATACTTAGAATCTCTTCAAGAGGATCTGAGGTAAAAATTCTCATATCGAACTTATTTTTAAAAATTTTAATTAAGCTGAAATAATTAGCGATCGGATTTACCCCCCGTTCGGATTTACCCCGACTGACCCTACAGAGGATATTAGAGGGAATTTGAGTTTAAGGGTGAATTTTTTGTACACGGAGATAAATAGATGGTACGGGGTACTATCTAAATTTTCTTTTTGTAATTAATTTTTGAATTTTATATTTTTGGTTTTTTTATTTTATTTATTATTAGGTTTTATTATATTTTATTATATTTTTTATTTATTTTTTATTATTGTTTTATTTATTATTAATTATTTATTATTTTTTTATTATAATATTTTATTATATACAAAATAATACCAAAAAAAAAATTATAAATATTTTTAAAAATATAAAAAATTAATTTAATTAGTTAAAAATTATGGTATATTGAAAAAATAACGGCAATTAACACTAGAAATTAAAATGCTAAATAAAGTAAGTATATAATAAGATATATCAATATTATTATTAAATTAACAAATGTTTAATACATTTAAAAAATTTTATTCATCTTTTCAATAAGTATTTTCATATTTTAAATAAATTTCACAAAATATAACAATAATAACATTGATTTAAAATTTCTATTTAAAAGCATTTTGAAAAAGCCCGCCGTTTTTCAACTGTTTTTCAACTCATAAAAACAGTCGAGGGTTAAGAGCAAGATTTTTTTATTCTCTGATAGTTGGTCGAGTAGGTTCTCGGTTAGGGTCTTTGGTTAGTGTCTGTCGAATCCGTGTTCAATTCCCAGTCTCCTCAAATTTGTTTCGAAAATTTTCTCGTTAAGTTTCCAAATGAAAATAAACAGGACATAATTAATAATAATAAAAGTCACAAGGATTTTCAAATTTAGAAAACAAATAAATTTTTTTTTAATTTAAAATGTATTTTTTAAAAATTGCAGCAACCTTGCAGCAACCTTTCCAGAAGCTTGTTGAAATTCTCCTGCAACCTTACGTAGCAAGCTTACATCAATCTTTCACGGCAAGCTTGCCGCAATCATTCTTAGTATGCTTGCAGCAATCTTGTAGCAATCTTTCATGGCAAGATTGCAGCAACCTTTCCTGGAAAGCTTACAGCAAGCTTTCACGACAAGCTTGCCCTGGGTGGGACATTTCGCTAGCTCAGACAAGCTTGCACGGTAAGCTTGCCGCAAGCTTGCTGCAAGTTTCCGTGCTATTTGGGATAGTACCGGATAACATCTACTTTTTACCATCTTAAGATCATAAGTTCTTACCATCTATTTCTCTCCGTGTAAAATTCTTTTTAGGACTATCTTTAAGTACTAAATTAACTTGAAATTCTTATGGAAAGGATTTTTGAAAATACTTATTTTTAATTTTAAGAGAGTAGTTTTTGTAGGTAAGAGTAGTTTTTGAAAAATTCTTTTTTGCTTCCTTTCCTCACGAGGAAGCTTTGTATTCGTGGCAATTTTCGATTTTTTAAAAATGGGTTATATGGGCTTATTTTTATCTAGAATCCATATATTTGAAGTTTTAAACAAATGTCCGGATATATATGTGTGTGTTTGTGTGTGTGCATGTGTGTATGTCACAAAATCTTTTGTACAAATTATCTCTAATACACTTCGATGGATTGTCCTGAAATTTTATATGCTTATTACAGTCATCAATACCTACCTTGTTTAATTGAATATTATTTTTTTTTTTCATATTATGTTTATAATTCTAGGGAAAACGAGAAGTGCCATTTATAAAAAATAGTGCGATCGAAGAAAATGAAATAGATGCCGACAAAGTATTAAAAGAAATAGGACATCATTTTTTATTAAACAATATCTTTGCGTATCGTAAAGACTATGATTTATTTGTAACAATGACAAGGTATATATAGATTTTACAATATATATATATATATATTTAAATATGGTATACAGTTTGAAATTATTATGAAAATTTACTAACATATTATATAATTTTATTTGTAATTCATTGTAATTTTTATGTAGTCGTGACATGTGCAATTGGGAATCAGGATTTAAATATTGTGATACAATGGGTAAGCAACATTTTTTGTAAACATTCTTTTTATAAATAGAGAAGGGTGGGGTGAAAAAGCTACTTTACTCAAAACTAAATTTTACAATAAAAACTATAATATTATAGATACAACGGCCAAACTAGAATTAAAAGTTGCATATTACCTACCCAATCAGCACGAAAACTTGCAGCAAACTTGCAGGAAGTTTGTCGTGCAAGATTGCAGTGCAAACATGTAGCAAGTTTGGTGCAAGCAACAAAATGTCCTCTTGTGGCAAGCTAGTTAAGCAAGCTTGCATCAAACATGCAAAAAGTTTGTTGCAGGCTTGTATAATACTAAAAATAAATTTTCAAAACGTTTTGTTACTAAATAAACATAAAGGGCACCTAGATTTGGAGGCTAAAAAATTTATTGCGCAGCCGTAGGAGCTTCTGTTTACAACTGCGCATTGTATTAAGTTTTGCAAACTTGCAGCAAGCTTGCCCTGCAAGGTTGCCGTAAGAGTACATTTTGTTGCTTGGACCAAACTTGCTACATGTTTGCACTGCTATCTTGCACGGCAAGCTTCTTGCAAGTTTGCTGCAAGTTTTCGTGCTGATTGGGTAATTGAATTTATATTTTAAATGCGTCTGATAAAACTATTTAATAGTTTTAATATAAAACCCAAATGGCTTTTTCACCCCACTCTACTCTATTTATTATTTAGGTATAACAGTCCCATTTTGCTTGCATTAACTTACAACAAAAAATTCTTCTTATATGGATAATCTGGTGTAAAACATTTAAAATATTTATAAATTAGGTTACGCATATGTTGCTGCTGCCTGTAATATACTCAATTATGAGAATAATGATGAAGATATGATAGAAGCTGTAGGAATGGTCGAAGACAATGGTGGATTTAAAGGAATCATACCTACTGCTCATGAAGTTGGTCACTTGTAAGTAATATAAATGGTGCAAAATTTTCGAAATGTCCTTGAAAAAAAATTTAAAATTATGTCTCTCAGAAGATATTCGAGAAACAAGATACGCGAAATTAGATCACGATATTCGCGAAACGAAACTAGATCGCAGAATTCGTGAAATTAAATCACGGTATGCACGAAACTAGGTCGCGGAATTCGCGAAACTAAGTCTCAATTAGTATTAAAAGAAAAAAAAAGTTTAAAAATAATTATATAGATTTTAATGTAAATTGGTGTCTGATTTGTCGTAAAATACATCATATTTTAATTAACGAAATACACTTGTGTAAATATTTTTATATATACTTATACCCATGTGCGAAATGCCAACATTGGCCCAGTAATGTCTGACGAAGTATGGCGAACTTTACTGGACCAGTACTGGCGATCAATTCGTCCCATTACTGGGCCAATATTGGCACCAATTCTCGGTTACTCTAATTTGCCATTATTGGGCCGAAATCTGTCCCATTACTGGGCCAATATTGGCAATGCATCTCAGTTACTCCAATTAGCCATAATTGGGTCGAACTCCGTCCTATTATTGGGACAATATTGGCACCGTTTCTCGATTATTCTAATTTGCCATTATTGGTCCTTCTCTGTCCTATTACTGGGCCAATATTGGCACTGCGTCTCAGTTACTCCAATTAGCCATAATTGGGTCGAACTCCGTCCCATTATTGGGACAATATTGGCACCGTTTCTCGATTATTCTAATTTGCCATTATTGGGCCTTCTCTGTCCCATTACTGGGCCAATATTGGCACTGCGTCTCAGTTACTCCAATTTTCCATAATTGGGCCGAACTCCGTCACACTACTGGGCCAATATTGGCACCAATACTTGGTAATTCTACTTTTCCATAATTGAGACGAACTGTGTCCTATTACTGGGTCATTATTGGCTCATTGACGGCTGAAATGTTGAATTTATTTTGACAAGTCATTTTTTCCAAAGTTGTAACGAATCTTGGCCCAGTAATGGCGCATTAACGGCTGAAATGTTCCTCAAATGTATAGTGTAGTGGTTAGCGTGTTAGACTTCGGTGCGTAGGTTGCGAGTTCGATTCCCGCGAGCGTTACAAATTTTCAAATGTTTAAACAATTGTCCTTTCTGTCAGGACTTGAATTATAAATGTATAAAAAATTAATTAGTTAATTAATTAATTATTATAATTTTTTAAACTTTTTTAAACTTTGACAATACTGGGCCACTAATGGCAGCCAAGATTGGCCCAGTAATGACGTCTGATACTTGGCTGCCAAAGTCCAACCGCAGTTAACACCACAAGAGTTGGCCCAATATTGTCTGCGAAGACTTGGTGCCCGATTTGACAATGCTGGGCCAATATTGGCTCATGTTGGTTTTCGCACATGGGTAATTGTTCATTTATTCAATAAAGTATAGTTACTAAAAAAATAATATTGTTTAATTGTTATAGACTGGGAGTGAAACACGATGTATCTGTTGACAACAATAAAAATTATTTATGTGAAGATGGTTATATTATGCATAAGGAACTTGCATTTTCTGACAATTCATTTGACTGGTCGCCTTGCAGTTTGCTGAATTTTACAATTCACTTGAAGTAATAAATTAAATATTGATTTAAATAAATAATTTCTTATGACTCAATGCATAAGTGTAATTTTTTTTTTTAAATTGTTACATTTTTTTTAGTCATCCTAATACTACATGTTTAAGAAACAAACCAAATATTGGTGATAAAATAGAAAATTTTTTACCCGGATCACAATATTCTCTGGAAGATCAATGTCAACAATTTAGCAGGGGATCAATACCATGCAAAGTAAGGGAATTTTTTTTTACATATTTCAAACTTTTCACTACTTTATATTTTTTTTTAATAACAAATGTTTCAAACTTATTTTCTGTTAGCATGATCTGCGTATTAAAAATGTTTGCATGGGATTAGAATGTTATGTAACATCAAGTGGAGAATGTGTAAAAGTCGCACCTGCTGCTGAAGGATCTTCTTGTGGATATAAATCAGTAAGCTTTTTATAATAATTATCTATTTTTATTTTATGTTTATTTCTTACATATGACAAAAATTTTATATTTCAAAAATAATAGATTTGTTTAAAAAAAAAAATTTTTTTCCCCTTCATTTTAGATTTGTCTTCATGGAAAATGTATATCATCAATATATAATAATTATGAGACGGTGATGTAAAAAATTATTTTCACAATGTTTTAAATTAAAAATTTTTGAACTTTGTTTATTAAAATTAGGCCCCTTGACCTATGTCCTTGGATTTTGAGGTTATATTTGAACTAAGGCCTTGAATCCTGGAAACCTATGCTCTAGAATTTTGAGGTTATGTTTGATCTCTGACCAATCTCTAACCTGAATCGTGGAACCCTATGCCCTTAAATTTTAAAGGCGCTCCCACACCTCCGGCTGCCTGCCTGCAGGTTACCATGGCAACGCATGAGAGTGAGTGCGACAGAAAATCGGAATATTCAAATTTTTTGTCTCACTCACACCTGTGCGTTGCCATGGTAACCTGCAGGCAGACAGCCAAAACGGTGTGAGTGCGCCTTAAGGTTATGTTTGATTCATGACCTTGAATTTTTGAGACCTCGGAACTTGAAATTTGAGGTTATGTTCGTTTCAATACTAATGTAGGTAGATATATAGGTCATTCCATGTCAAGAGTAATCAACCTAACCTAATTCTGTCAAAAATATGGGTTGGGTACACTTGACATGGAATGACCCATACTGGAGACAGCGGCGATATCTTTTTATAATATAGATAGAGAGAAAATGACTACAAATGTAAAAAATATAATAAATTATTTAACAAGTAATGAATACTTGAATTATTATTATTCTCTTTTCGGTAAATAACGAACAAGTGTGCGTTTTTAGCTGCATGGCGTCAGAAAAATGAGCATAACTTCTTTAATATTAAGAGCACGAAGTAGTATAAGGAGACATATCGTTGTATATAAAAGATGGCCCCGTTTTCGGTATTCACGGTTCTCAAGTTTTCACCAATCTAATTACACTTGCGCCAACCGCGGGAAATTGTGGTATTAAACTCTGTATTCTGTAAACACGTGATTTTAATACCGAGATTTCCCTCTAGAGGCGCAAGTGTAATTAGATTGGTGAAAACTTGAGAACTGTGAATACCGAAAACAGGGCTACATTCCGTTAGAGCCGGCCATAGGTGATATGTCTCCTTATACTACTTCGTGATTAAAAGTTACTAACCCAGGTGGAAAAGTTCCCGGTAGTGACTACCGGTAGTCATTACCGCTCCTGCTACCGGAATATTCACTACCGGTAGTCACTACCGGTAATTTTTCCTAGACTATCGGTAGCCACTACCGGTAATTTTTCCGGGACTACCGGTAATTCTTCCGGTACTACCGGTAGTTACTACTGGTAATTTTTCCGGTACTACCGGTAGTCACTACCGGTAATTTTTCCTAGACTATCGGTAGCCACTACCGGTAATTTTTCCGGGACTACCGGTAATTCTTCCGGTACTACCGGTAGTTACTACTGGTAATTTTTCCGGTACTACCGGTAGTCACTACCGGTAATTTTTTTTTTACTACCGGTAATCACTATCCGTAATTTTTTCCGGGACTACCGGTAGTCCCGGAAAAATTACCGGTAGTCTAGGAAAAATTACCGGTATTGACTACCGGTAGTGAATATTCCGGTAGCGGGAGCGGTAATGACTACCGGTAGTCACTACCGGGAACTTTTCCACCTGGGTAAGTTTTTATTTTAATTTACTCGTTAGAGTTTTGCGCATCAAATGAGCCTAGTCTGAGTTTTCAAAAACATTGAGAAAATATTTTAAATCGCAATTGTTAAAAACAATTGTAAATTTTTGTTTAACAACAATCACTTTAATTGAACTGTAAAATATAGACTTTAAGCTTTAATTTAAAAAAATCGACCCAATTATCGTTACTCGTTTTCGAGTTATAAATGAAAAATTCATTACCTCTAAAGTTCAACCCCCGATTATTTTCAAAAATAATTAATGTTTTTTGAAAATATTTAATGGGGTAAATGTAGACTCATATATCTATCAAAAAACGTAGGTGCCATGAAAATCGGTGAAAAAATTTTTTAAGATGGCTGTTTTGACTTATTTTGACCCAAAACAAATAAAGATAGAACATATGAATTTTGAGAAAATTATATTTTTTTTAGGCGGTGAATGAGAAGAAAATTATAATCAAAAGCATAAAATAGAAATTTGACAAAGATTTTTTAAAAATTTATTTTTCTTACACTATGTTGACTTTTTCATGTATAAGAAATAACAGATTGATAAACGATGACAAGGTGTTCCCCCCTCCCCCACCCCCAACTCTTCTTTCTTTATATATAGCGTCTTTCTCACTCTTCGAGAAGAAGGGTCGTCGCGGTGCTCTTGTCAGCCGTCGGTTGCATTATTGAATTTCTCTAACAAACGATCGACTTCACCCCCTTGGTTCCCTACAGCCTCCTCTCCCTCCCCCCCCCAACCCCCTTGAACTGACGCTTAGTCTACCACACACCTACACATTTTTGCCACCGTTCCCGTGCCATGCCGCGACTTTCTTAACTCGTGCCGACCCCAACTGATCCTTTTTGCCTTCTTTTTATCAGAGACTTATCGTCCTTCCGCGCCTCACTCGCGAATACCGCGCACGTACGCGTCTGTCGGCAAATGAAAATTGAGAATATCGCTTGAAACGAGCCATATAGTACACACATACCCTTGTCGTTGATAAGATAAGGGAAATGTAAAGTGAAAGAAATAGGAAGGATCGCTTTTCATTCGTGGAATACAAAAGAAGAATTTTACATCCTTCCCGTGTCTAAATTACCAAAATCAAATTTGTATTATTGATCTAAAAAGTTTTTTTTTTTCTCCAAATTTTCTTTCTTTTTCTTCAATTTATTTTATTTATCAATTATATTTTTCCATAACAATAATAATTTATCTTGTTTTTAATGTTAAAATTACACCTATAGAAAAAATTTGCTGTCACATCAAATTAGGTTAGCTAATATATATAGGTACAGCGAACAAATTTGCTGTGGGGTCCAAAAAAGTTTGCTGTGACAGTAAATTTTTAAAAATTAAGACTGATATTGTTCATCACAGCAAACTTTTTCGTTGTCATAGGAAAAAAATTTAGCAGTGGTTACTAATTTTGATAGATCTGATAGCAAACATCAGTTAGCATCTGTAAGCAATTCCTTTTTTTTTCCATGTATTATATCCGGAACTAAATTTTACATTTGTATATTTGAAAAAATAAACGATAGAAATAATTTGCATTTATTTTCCCTAATATTTTACGGGAAAACTGTCATTATTTAAAAAGGGATCCCATTTTGCAAAATATAATATATACAACTGAGGGTTCATTTTAAGAAACATTTTTAAAATCTCCATACATTGACTTGCTTCATAAATCGTTGCGGATGTGGTGCATGACAACCTTTCAGTCTTTTAAAGATATGCTATAAACACATGCAAATGGGTTCTTCAAAAAAAAAAAAAAAAAAAAAGGGATGAATATAATAGAAAGACAAGGAAGAGTCCGCGGAAGGAAAGCTAAATTATTAGAAGAGAAACCCCATGGAAAATGAGTCAGACGAGGTGACATCTGCCGAGGGGGCCGTCGCGACGCGTCGGAACATCCTTTACATTTTTATACTCGACTTCTAGTATAACACGTCGGCTGACAGAGGAGAAGACACGAGAAAATGGATAATGCGTTCGCGGAGAATACGAAAAAGTAAATGTCAACATCAAAAAAAAGGAAAATAAAATTGCCTCTTAGGTTAAATGGCATGAGATTTTTAATCACTATAAAAATAGATAATTTTCTTATAACTATAATTTTTTTCTACAGTCGAAATATTATTAGTAATTTTATTATATTTTCATCATACCTACCTGATTCAAAATTTTAAACTTGATTTTCTTAAAAGAAATACTTGTCCTTGATAATCAATATATTTAGGAGAAAAGACTACGAGTTACCGACTACTGCAAAAAATAGGAATCTACATTACCATCAGTCGGTAATGTAGAAAATGAAGATCTGTAATGTACGAAGTCGAAAAATCGACGAGTTACCGACTGCTGGTAAGGTAGGTATGTACCTAATGATATTATTATTTCTTTATTTTGTTCCAGGAAACCACGAAGAAAATCATTTAAGTACAATACAAATCATAATATACACTAATTATAATATATAAATTCATAAATTAATTTCTATCTGAAGTTGAATAACAATGATAAAGATAAAAATATAGCAATTTTTGATTATTATAACAGCAGAAATCATAAAACATACAACCAAAAACAGTTATCATCAACATTCCTTTTCCATTTTCTATATTACCTACTGGTGATAAGGAAGATTCCTACTTTATCGACAACCGGTGATTTTAATCATACTATTTTAATGTTAATTCTTCATTCTGCGGTATGTTTGTGACAAAATAAATTTTATTCTAGTTAATACCATTCATCAATTATTCACCCAGGGAAATAATAAAGTTCTCTGGGTGAATAATTGAAGAATGGTATTAACTAGAATAAAATTTATTTTGTCACAAACATACCGCAGAATGAAGAATTAACATTAAAATAGTATGATTAAAATTGACAAAATTTAAACAAGTAAAATAAATAGTAAATAACCATTATCTATGGAGAAGTTAAAATTATATAGGAATCACCGGTTGTCGATAAAGTAGGAATCTTCCTTATCACCAGTAGGTAATGTAGAAAATGGAAAAGCCCATAAGTTATCGAATGTTGGTAATGTAGGAATCTTTCTTACCATCAGTCAATAGTGTACAAAATGAACATTTTTAATTTTATGATTTCGAATATTCTAAGAACGCTAAATCAAAAAATTAATAAGAAAAACAGCACACCTCCATAGGTAAATCTATTAATGTTTTTAAAATTTAAATGAACAAAATTAAACGAGCATTTCCACAAGAGCAATTTAATATTCTTCCGTCAAAATTAAAGCAATTAAGCACTTTTGTGAAATTAAAATTTCTTTATTTAAAAATGCTATCCTCTTTCAGTATTAAACGTTTCAATTCATAAATTAAAGAATTTTGTTACTGGTAATGTAAATAAAATCGCCTTTAATGCTTTTATCTTGTAAATAAAATATAGGAACTTTGAAAATGAAAATAGATTTTAAAGTTCGACTTGGAACATGACTTCAACTGTATACATATATAGATAGAGACGAAATGATGAACAAATCATGTTTTTAATTACCCTCTTCAGGCGCCAACTAGAAGCCTTTTAATGATACTAAATACTTACTTATCTGTACAGAAATATCGTCTGATGATGGACGGGTCCCGCGATGCTTTCGTAAGTTCACGAGCGTTACTAAATTATTATTAAACGGAAACTTAGAACGACACTTAATTACTTAACAAGTTGCTGCTGTCTCTTGAGATTTTCTGGTTGGAGGCTGTGCACTTGGAGAATGGAAGGTGGTTTGGTGATGGGAAAAAGGGTATGGGGAGTAAAAAGGAGGGAGCAATGCCCAGAGTAGAGGAGAATTGTCCAAAGGGGTTGAAAGGGGTGTTTTTTCAAGGGAAAGGGTGAGAAATAAGAGAAGAAGGGAATGGTTGAAGAGAAGAGGACGAAGAAGAAGAAGAAGAAGAAGAAGCTAGAAGAGCAAGAGAGTGCCAGCAGCGGACCTCGGCAGGCATACGTTTCCCTATCTATGCCATTAAAAGTTAATTGGAGTAGAAGTCCTCTTCTCTCGCGAAACGCGAGAGTGTATAGGTAAGAAAATGAGAATCCAGTGGCATGGCGTAGGAAGCAGGAAGAATCTTGGGAGGGGGAATACGGTAAATCAGAAGTTATCACCTCC